TCTGCCTGAATCAGTGCTTCCTAATGGCAACTCTTTTTTTTAAATCTGAAATAAATGCTTACTGCCCCTCACTCTGAAAGGGCTTTCAATTTTAGGTTAATAGGGGAAACTTTATACAAATAAGAATAAATACATCTTCACAAAAGATTTTCTAGTACCAGTCTTTCTTATAAACACCAAGTGCTAATTTCTGACAACTGCTTAACGTAAGTCACATGGGCCTTGGATAAAAATTGATCGAACAGTAATATACACTACTGCTAACAGAAAACTTTTTACATAGTCACAATACTGAAGAGAAGTAACAAAATAAATGATGCTTAAATAAACTATTACATAATCAAACTTTTTTTTAAAGCAATGTTTCCCAGACAGATTTTACTGAAACCAATTATTAAAATAAAATTTGTACTTTCCCGGTATCAGTTCAGTAAGACCATGATCCCAATACAGGTAAGCCACAAGCTTACCAAGGAATAAGGGTGTTACACAACCAAACTATTTTTATTTCACAGGAGCAGTCAGCGTAGTCACCCGGTTCTGAATCCTCTACAACCATCCATCCATTACTGTTGTATTTCTCACGTAAAGTGGTATCTCAGCAAAGTAAGAGTATCACTTAACCTCTTTCAGTTTGTTTCCTGCACTGTAAAACGAGAATTACATATGCCTAATTGTGTTACTGTGAAGTCTAGAGACGATAAATATAAATGGCTTGGAAATACGCGGAGCACTTTAACTTTCGGTAAATCCTACCTGCCGTTATTATTCTCCTCAAAACAACGCTTACTTGCTTATTCTAAGTTTAGGTTACACTGGAGTTCTTCAAACTCTTAGGAAATTAAGGCCGCTTTCGGGCCTCAGCTTCTTTGAGGCCCTTATCACCGATTAAAAACCTACTCCTGCGTCGCATCCCCGTTTGTAAACGTCCTTTTAGTGTACCCTTACTCAACTCCAAACCTCCTTTTCCAGCTCATCTCTAAGTACCAAGAGCCCTTCTCCAAGGGCCCCAGCACCCTGCACGACCCTGGCTAGCAAGTCTTCCCAACACACAGGGGCCACACTTGAACTTGCGGCAACAGCCCCCGCTCTGGCCTCATCCAGGGTCTCGGCCACGAAATACGGCCGCACACCGCCGGGTCCCCGGCTCCGGTCGCAGCGCTAGCTCCACCTTGAAAAAGCCGGACCGCGAAGCTGAACCACCTTCCACGAATCCGCTCCAGCCTCAGTTTCCCTGGCGGTAGCACTGGTGCGCACCGGTCGCCCAGAGGCCTGGGGAAAGGCCACAAGTGGGCCGGCGCTCCCGTACCCCTCAGAGCCGCACACTAACCTGCAAGTAACCTGCTTGGTGCTCATGGTGGTAGGGCTAAAGGGCCGTGGTCCAGCCGCCGCGTCCTGCTCCCACCACCGCCTCCCGCTCTCTCCGCCTCCGCGTTGCCTGGGCCCTGCCCCTCCTCGGCGAACGCGTCACGCCGGCGCACACCGCCCCCTCCCGTGTGGCACCTTTGTAGCCCCGACTGGAAACCTCACTGCCGTCACAATTGGTTCCGCCCCGGAGTCGAGGTGGGGCCGACCCCCAAATCCCCGCACTCCTTGTTTCGTTTTCAAGCCTCGTGGTCAGGGCCTAGTGTACCACCCTAGTTCTGCCAGTTTTAAACCTCGTGCCTGCCAACTGTTAGTTCCTACGGGTCAGCCGATCTTCAAGAGCATTGCTTAGCGACCTCTCGCGTCTCTAGGATCACTTCACCTGAGGTGAAGTGGACAGCTCCAGCCTGTCCTCTGCGCATCTTAATCCCAAATACTCCTCCCTAGGCCCCTTTCTCGGGCCCTGTCTCAACTGTCCCTGCCAGAACTCACCTCCCAAGTAAGGAATTCTTTAGTCCTCTCCCAATTGCTCCTTTTACAAAATCTCTACTCCCATCCCAGCTTTCAGCCATTTTCTTTCCAGGCATTCCTCTGCTGTTTGTTTTCCATTTCCTATGGTGGAAACGAAAAAATCTATTCTTGACACTTTCCTCTGGTTCTCTATATATCCTGCAGATCCTACTCTCCAATGCATCCTCTTGTCTACATTTCTACCTTCACGGTTTCAGTCTAAACAACCATCACTCCTTGCCTGGGCCCATGCAATGGCCTCAGCTGCTCTTCTGGCTTCTGCCCTCTTCTAATCCGTTGTTACACAAAACCTATTTTTAAAACGTGAATCGGATCATGTCATTACCTCCTTTAACCTTTTCCATGGTTTCTCATTGCTTTTTATTGTAAAAAATCTTTTTAAAATTTTTACGCATTAAAATATAACAGAGTATAGTAAATTGCACAGAACATACGTATACTCATGAAATCATCACCCAAATGAAAGATCATTATCAATACCCCAGAGGACTCCCTTATGCCCCTTCCCAGTGTCTCCCAAAAATAACTGTTATTCTTACCTCTCTCATCACAAATTAAATTGTTCTTGACCTTGATATAAATGAAATAATTTAGTATGTACTCTTTTGTCTGCCTTCTTTTGACCAACATTATATCTGTGAGATCTATTCATGTTGTAAGAACAATGTGTAGCTGTCAGTGTTGATCTCTACATGTTATAAGAACTGTAAAAATATTGTCTTCCTGTGAATGAGCACAGTATATACTTGCAATTAGAACTTCCAAAATTTCAGAAATTTAGGAAATACATTGGAAAATTTGTAGTTTTCAGTGTATAGGCCTTTGACAACTTTTATTAGAAGCATTCCTGGATAGCTAGATGGATTTTTGGATGCTATTTTAAAAGATTTTTTAAAAATGTCCTAATTGTTGCTTGTTCCATGATAAGTTCGTGTATTAATTCTAATGGTTTGTTTGTTGATTGTTTTGGATTTTCTGCATACACAATCATGCCATCAGCAAATAATGACAGTTTTAACTTCATTTTCAATCTCTATATCCTTTATTTCTTTTTCTTGTAGTGCACTGCTGAGAACCTTCAGTGTAACTTTAAATAGAAATGGTAATAGTAGATATCCTAGTCTTGTTCCTGAATTCAAAGAAATTTTTTTGTATTTCACCATTAGTTAAAATGTTAGCACTAGTTTGAAGCTATCCACTATCAAGTTAAGGAAGTTTCTTTCTCAAGTTTAAATTCTGTTTTCCATTTACCGCTTTATCCTATATTCTGTTAGTTAGTTGAATTGTATTACTGATTTTTTAATGTTAAGTCAACCTTGAATTCCTAAGATATAGCCCATTTGGCATGATTATTATTCTTTCTATAAATCATTACATTCTATTTGTTAATATTGTGTTTAGGATTTCCGCATCCTTGTTCATAACAGATAGTGGTCTATAGTGTACCTTCCTTGTAATATCTGTGTCAGGTTTTGTTATCTGAGATACACATGAGTTTAGGAGTCTTCCTGCTTTTCTATTCTCTGGAAAAGTCTGGGTAATGTAGGTATTGATTTTTTCCTAAATATTTGGAAAAATTTACCACTGAAGCCATCTCTGTGCAGTTATTTTGGCTTTGTTCATTTTCTGCATTATATGTGTGATTTTATCTTTACTATTTCTGCTCTTTACTATCTCTTTTTGCTTTTTTTTAGTTCAAATTATTCTTGTTTTCTCACTTATTTAAATAGAAATTTAAATCACTAATGTTCAAGTATTCTTCTTTTTTACATATTTAAAGATATAATTTCCCCCATAATAAGCCCTGTTTAGTTGTATGCCCCCAAGTTTTTATGTCATTACCATTGGATTTGAAATATTTTCTAATTTCCATTCTTTGAGCTATAAGTTATTTAGAAATATGCTGCTTAATTCCTAAACTACTGAGGATTTTCTTGTTAGCTTTTTCTTGCTGATTTTTAAAAATTTCTAGTGTAATCACACTGTGGCATTGTCTGTTCTTTTAATTTGGTCAGCATTTGATTTATATATTGTGAAGCTATATTTTTAGATTCAAATAAATTTAAGATAGCTCTCTTCTGTTTTGTCAACACATTATGACAAGAAATGTCCCAGTTTATGCTAGTTGCCATGTGATTCTGGACAGTGTTGTATCAGTGATACCCTCTATTCATCTCACTATTGTGCACATAATATACTATGTAAAGACATGTGTACAAAAAATACTTTGAAGAATGCTAGTTGTTTACTGCCATCAGGGTACTGTTTTCAGGGCAAGAATGTGTTGACCCCAGACAATGCTTTGCATATGAAAGATGTTTCTGAGGGTGCTAGTTCAAAAAGGAAATGTCTAGATTTTTTTTCTTCTATTAAAGTTTATTTTGTCTGATAATGATATAATTTCATCAGCTTTCTTTTAGGTATATTTTCGACCTTTTATTTTCAACTTACCTGGTGTTTTTATATTTAATCTGTATCGCTTGTAAATGGCATATAATTGATTGATTTTAAAATAGTCTCAGAACCCCTCACACCCTCTCCCAGTTAGTAACCCCAACCTGGGGTAATCACCTTCTTTATTTTCACTGTGCTGTTAATTTTTTATTAGCAAGATTACGTCTACAATATAACACATTAAAAGGGAATACCCTCAAAAGAAGGATTTACTTATTCAAAACCAAAACGATATAACCTTTCCTAGAAACACAAAAATATGTGCAGATCCCTAATTTCAAGGAGCTCACAGACTTATGACTAATTAAAGAACAGAGATCTGGTAGAAACATGAATCCAGCGCTGCCAGAGCAAGGGAACGCTGAGGGAAGCGGAGAAAGATTTCACAGAAACGCAGAACTTTTAAGGATGAGTAGGAGCTGGCTGCCAACAGTTGCAAACTATACAGTCTAGAAAAAAACTGTCAGCAAGCACAAATGAAAAGGAAAATGAAAGCTCTTTAGGACACTAATTTACGGGGTGGCCTGGTTACTGGTTAATTCTACCCGGTTTGGCTTCCGAGGCCGTCAATCAGAATGACGTCATTGCTGATCGGGTTACTCCGGCTGCATGAATTTGCTACCTGGGAAATCAGAAAAAGGAAGTGGGAAAACCGCCCTTGTTTGCTCCCAGGAGGGGAAAGCCATGCAATGCGCAGAGACTGGAAAGCCTATAATTAAATTCAGTCACTGTAGGAAATACATCTACAGCTTCAGTGTGCCGCGATGCTGCCCCCTCTGCCGGCAGGACGTGGGCTCGAGGAAACTGGAGGAAGCACCTGTTAGCATCTCCAATCCGTTTACCAATGGGCATCAAGAAAAATGTTCGTTTCTCCTCAAACCAACTCAAGGGACGTTTCTTAGGTACAGTGTTTCTAAGTGTTACCTTGAATTGTGCAAACTTTTCTTTCTGTGTTGTAGTAACTAAAATCTGCAGTGTGAATGAGCTGTGGTGGATAATTCCAGTATTTTAGCATTAAATTGTAAAATACAGGACTGCTTGTTTTAAGAGTAGATGGTGTGCATACTTTTCTGGAATAAGTGCAAGCATATATGAAGGTGAAACCTACTTACACGGCCTTTTTTAAAAAAAAGATTTTATTCGTTTTTAGAGGGGGAAGAAGGGAGAAACAGAGGGAGAGAAACGTTCATGGGTTGCATCTTTTATGTACCCTCACCAGGTCCGTACCCTGCAACCCAAGCATGTGCCCTGAACTGAACTGAATGGTGACCTTTTGCTTTGCAGGAAGATGCCCAAACAACTGAGCCACACTGCTCAATTCTATACACTTCTTATAGAATTTTAAGAGAAAAAAATCCATAAGGACTTTTTTGCCCATAGATTTTGAGGCTAATTGGAAAAATGACCCAGCAGCTAATCTTATCAAAATAATGCTTTTATTGTTAGTTTGTCATTTCTGTTAAAACCAGGTACAATGTACAGATCCTGAAGAACAGCCACTTATAGACTATTTTGCATGGAGGTGAATTGAAGACTAGAGCTGGTTTAATTGTAGATGCCATTTTACTTTAAGATTTCAGAAATCAAAAGAAAGGATTGTGTCTCCTTAGAGTCCTTGTGGCATTTACAAATGGAATTGTGACTGGCCTTGCACAAGCTTGGCCTGGCTTGTAAGAGAGCAGGGATGGTACCAAATGATAGCATGTGCTTTGGGAAGCGTGTCCAGCCACATCGTCCATGCTGAAAACTCCTTACCTCCTTGAAATCCACCCTCCACTCTCTCATGCCCTCAGGAGTGCCTGGGATGAGAAAATTAAAGTTGACGATTCACTTCCTGCTAACTAACTTCTTTAATCGATCTCTGTCCCTATGAGACTGAAACAAACTAGTGTGTAAAAGGTACTGCACCAAACTATTTTATAAGAGCCTCTCGTTCATGCTAACTTGAAGTCATTAACTGGATGGATTCTAAAAGCTTTTGAATAAAGTCTTTAAAATTTGGAATTCATTTGCCATAACATGGTTCATTCAACAAATCCTTACTGAGCAGCTCTCTGTGGGAAACTCCAGGGATGTCACAGCGAACAGGCCACAGCCCTACATTCAAGAAATGACCCATGACAGGCTTACAGGTTAGCCCTTAGTAAGATGCACTTATTCTGTGACGTGGTGGTGATACTGACGGACCTGGCTTCTCTGGGCATCAGCAGAAGGGAGGTGGTGGTGTTGGAACAAGTCAGGTATGTTTTGGCATCCTCCCACCCCCTTAACCCTTCAGGTAGGATCTGCAGAGTCCTTAAGTAACCCCCTGCCCAAAAGACTCTCTAAGGCCAAGTTCTAAACTATTTCCTTCCTCCTCATCCAACTTCTAAACCCTCAGGATTGACTCCCACAATTCACTTTGAGACAATTTCACCTACTTTATAAAAGAGAGCCAGCAGCCACCCAAAGGAACCACTGAGGCTCTGAGCTCCCTCAGGGCTGCCACATGGTTGTGCAGGCTGTGGACTGCACAAAGGCACCTGGCCAAGGTGGTGGTGACTGCAGACACTCAATCTGCATTCCACTTACCAAGCCAAGCACCTGGGCAGAGCTGCATCTGCAGGAAGAAGGGGACCCTTTTAAAAATTTGTACAAGGCTGTCATATAGGAGAGGGATGGCCCCGCCCCCACCCCATCACAGGCACCTGCAGCATTCTATGTTTTTTTTCTCTTCATAGCACATACTAATTAACAGCTTGCGGAACTGAAGCTAAAAAGTCTCCTCTGAAGTGAGAAAACTCCAAGGGCAGAAACCTCAGTCTTATTTCCTGTGGCACTAGCCTTTCACTTCAAACAACAGGCCCATAGTTGATACTGGATAAATATCTGTTGCAAGACTGAGGAATAACTGAAGGACAGGAGGGAGTCTGGGAGGAAATGCCTAGGATTTAGGCAGGAAACCAAGTGCAGCCATGTGCTCAGGGAGATGCAGCATGGTCATGAGCCACCCAAGACTCCAGTCCCCCAGGGTCTCCAAATACTCAAAAGCGGCTCCAACAAGATGACCTGGGGAAGGGGAGGCGAGATTGCTCTGAAGAAGGTGGGGCAGCCATTTGTGTCCTTGGTCATTTTAAAACCTGCAATTGCTTGCTTTCATGAGGAACCAAACATCCAGACCTGTGCTCTGGTAAAGGAGCTTAATCACTTAAAAAGAACCTCAGATTTATTCAACACCTCTATGTGGCAGGCACTCAATAGACATTTTATTCTTACAATCAACTCATTAGGAAGCCTATGATATTCCCATTTTATATGTGAGGAAACAGATCAGAGAGAATAAGTGACTTGCCTGAAGTCCCACGGTTGGTAAGTGATGGCCTGGGACTGTTTATGAAGTTTAAATTATATGGACTTATACATCCAATACCCAGTCTCGGGTAAATAATAATTCAAGAAAACAAAGGCTGTCCAAGAGAAGTGGGTGTGGCACAGGCTACCAGACCAAAATGGGCTGTGTTAGTTTTGAAGACAGATGTCTACTGAGATGCATTCGGGATCCTCTCACCCACATCTGCCTAAGGAACAGCCTGTCACCTCACATAAAAGGAAAGAATAGGAGCTCCTTCAACAAATGACCACTGGGTGGGCACCTCTGCCAGGCATTACGCTGACTTTCTGCTTTGAGCAGGGCTGGCCTTCTAGCACACTCACCTTTAGTACTGGGGGCGGGCGGAGGGGCAACTAAATCCAGATGGAGGGCAGGGGGAAATTTTAGATTTCAAATGCAGTCTTGGCCTAACCAGCTTTGAAACAGGGCTTTCACTAACCTGGACAGTGATGGCAAGTCTGGCACCAGCCAAGAGAGGAGGCCCATTACTCTCCAAGTGCCAACACTTCGTGCCAGACATATGCAATATTCTTTCTTTCAGGGAGTATGATGGAAGGTCTGATCTTCATGTTGGAATAACCAACACACATGGTGAGTGCATTTTCATTTTTATTTTTTAGCTTAAAAAGTACCCAAAGTACCCAGAGGAAAGCAGTATTTCTAAAGAAAAAGTGATCATGCAGCATTTAAATTGTAATTCCTTTGGGCCCGGGGTTCTCCTGCTGCACCGATGAGATGAGAAGAGCTACCCACCCCCTCCCCCCACCCAAATGAGAAACAGTTGACTTTATAGCAAAGTATTACTAACAATACTAAGTATTTGAAATGTCTTGAATGTTTTCTCAGCCAAGAGTGATAGAAGCCTTTTACGTTTTTGTTGGTATTTTTAAAAGTTAGAAACAGAGCCTGGGACAGATAGTTCAGTTGTTTAGAGCCAAGGTTGTGTGTTTGACCCCCGAACAGGGCATATACAAAAATCAACCAATAAATGCATACATATATGGAACAACAACAAAAAAAATCAATGTTTCTCTCTCTAAAATCAATACATTTTTTTTTAAAGAGGAAAAAACAGATTTCTGGAGATTGAGTTGCCCAGGACCTCATCTTGTATGGCAATCAGAATCTGGACCTACACCCTCTGCTCCCCAAACCTATACTCACTCAGCCTACTGCCATTGGGTCCTCACACTCCAGGGTCTCCAGGGGTTAGGCAGGAATCTCAGGGACAAGTCAGGGGGTACAACACCCGAGTGGGTGGTGGGGCATATCGTGGTTTGCTTTAAAAAAAACGGTAATTAAAAAGAAGTGAAGCATGTTTAAATAAAAGTTCCTTTGGCCAGATTTAGCTCTGAGGGGCATGGAGTCTGCAACCCCTGAACCCAGGACATCCTTGTCTACAGGAAAAGGGCCCTGGTTAGCCACTTGCTTGAAGCTGTAGGCCTGGGACTGGTGGGCAAGGCCAGCCAGGTGAGGCTTTCCTCACCCCGCAGAGGCAGGAGAAACTGGCACTGTGACCAGAAACCTAGGACTGGGTTTTTGAACTCAAGAGTTACTCACATGAGAAGTAAAACTTACCATCAATCTCATCACTGGAAATTTATTGCTGATTTAAGGAAACGAGATAGGCCCATTTGTAAATACAGAACTTCAACGAAAATATTTGGAGATGATTATCCTGGTGCCTATTGTCTCCATGTCTGGGTGACTTCAGAGTGTTGAAGAGCAGGTAGAACAAGTGGGTTTCCCTGAAGAAATTGCTTTGCAGAGAGCAGGGGAGGATGGGCTCTATAGCCAATCCTTAACTCTAGGGAGGATCCTCTCTAAATCTCCTAGGTGGATGCCTCTTGAACTTGATGATCCTTGAGGAAGGAGGTTCTAGAGTCTCTAATGCCCTATCGCTAACTGGCAATAATCAGAAAGTGCAACCTCAGTTTCTGATATGTAAAGTTACCATGTGACTAGTGTCATTTTCTGACATCCCCTTTTCACAGAGGTGCATTTCCCCTCAAGCTTCTGCACAACTCTGGTCTTGGTTGCAGGAGTTGTCTATAATTACACCATGCATGGTGTCCAGCGCGATGAAGCAGGCTGGGAACAGAGTGTAAGCATCCCATTACTGCAGCCCGGCATGTTTGGACTGATGGACCAGTGGAACAAGTACCTGGAAGACTTCTCCACCACAGGGGCCTGGCTGCCCCACAGGTACAGGGCTGCACAGGCCACCTGCTCCCTGGCCCTCATTTGCCATGCAAATATGATCTCAGCTCACAGAGGACTCTAAGCTGCATTTAGTTGAGCCCATACCAAGATAATAGTATGCCTGTAATAATTTAAGCAAGGGTTGATGTACTTTGGGGTTTCTGAAGAGGTAAGCCAGCATACATTACACAAAGAATCAGAGCATTTCAAGAATGGAAAGGACCAAAATTTAGGACTCTGGTTATATTAGTTATTCAACTAAGTATTTTTACATATTTAACTTTTAAAAATATCATGTACAGCAAAAGCCGTATTATATTCCCTAAAACAAAAAAGTTTTAGCCCTGGCTGGTGTGGATCAGTGGCCTGGGCATCATCCCATATACCAAAACCAGCTGGATTCTTGGTCAGGCCGCATGCCTGGGATGAGGGCCCCAGGTTTGGGGGTGTGTGAGAGCCAACCTATTGATGTTCCTCTCACACATCTATGTTTCTTTCCCTCTCTTTATCCCTTCCTTCGCCTCTCTCTAAAAAAAAATAAATAAAATCTTTAAAATTTTTTTTAAAAAGTGATATTCAAAATTTATAAACATATTAAGCTCTTTTTTGGTTTTAGCAACTGTGAAGTTGATTTCTCAATTCCTTGCTCACTTAACACTTTAGATATACAATGTACTTGTCTATTTAAACTCTTGTCAGGCTACCCTTGAAATAAGTTTAAACACTGTGGAATGTCCTAACATTTAAGATATGAAATTCTACTTAAAGAATCTAGGATTTCAGTGAAAGTAAATCCCCAAATTTGGGGTTTATATGCACTTTTAACTCACCACTCTGACATTTAGCTGAGTCCCATCTTTACTTAAGTTGTAAGCAGAAATAGTCCAACATACCAAGTGTTCCTGCACATGTTGGGCCCAGCTTGCTGAGTAAGCCCAATTTCCCTTATGAAAGGCCTTCAGCAGCTTCTCAGCCTGTTCCTGAGCAGCTTTTAAAGCTTAGTCTTCTCTTCTCCATGCCCTTGTTTTGAAGGTATGAAGAAGACTGCCACAACTGCTACAGTTACACCCTCACATTCATTAACTGCATTCTGACCACAGAAGGCAAGGAGCAACTGGACAAGAATGAGTTCACAGAGAAATTCGTGGTCCCAAGGACAAGGAAGGCTTCCAAGTACATCACACTCTACCGGGTGATAGAAGAACATGGCTTCTATGTGATTGACCACACGGATCAAGAGCCAAGCCCTCCTCCAGGAAGTGGTTTCTGCTGAGTGTGCTGTATAAGGGAAGGGACAGGACATTCGGGGGGTTACTACTTTTAATAGATACTAAGGATTTCTAAGTACATTAAACTGTGGTTAATAAAAAAAAAATATGTGATATGGCGTTCCTTTAAGCATACCTCAGCTTACTGCAGTATAAGAATTTATAAAATTAATAAAAAATTATCCTGGATTTTCAAAATTGTTTGCATTACAATTAAATTCTTTTCATAGCAGTTTGGTTTTCAAACTGAGAATATGTGTTAAAGCTTAAAGTGGCAGCATCTTTTATTCACAGAATAATGAAAGGTCTTCCCATAAGTTAATTAGAGCCAAATAAATTCACTTTTCAGTGTGAACCCAGAAGGTGGAGGGATTTGTAGGAAGGTGAGCAACACAGCTACAATTTACAAAGTAATGATTATTTTCATCTCACTGTTTTTCTGGAGAAGCATGTGATAGCCTGTTGGTGGTCAAAATAGGAAAGAAAAAAGAAAAAGAATAAAGTCTCAGAATCTAAGTTAGGAAATAGGCACTCTTGCATTAGCCTTCCTGTCCTCATCCATGTGCACAAACTGGACTGGCAATTCTTTGGATGTGGAACACCCTGCTGTTTCCTTCTCATTTTGCCTGTTTGACACGAGACCATCGGTGGTGGTGGTGGTGGGCGTGGCTGGGTTTACTACACCACCTTCTCTTACCCCTTTAAATGCGGACTTCAAAATGGACTCAGTGAATGGTTGTCTGGTTTCTCTAATACTCAGAAGAAGAAAGGAAAGAACTGGGATGAGCAACTACAAAAAAATGAGATGATTTTAACAAGCATATTAGAATTTGTATATCCAAATAATCATCAAACTTTCAACAGCCAATCAGCAAAACATTTCAGAATTCCCCCTGGGAACCTGCTTTCAGCAATCACTTTGTTTTTGGGCCAATGTGATGTATGACTCCACCTAATCTTATTCTCCAGCCTGGTCCCCAAGTGATATCTAACTTCCAAAAACCAAATCCATCCTCAAGGAACTCAAGTTCAAAGAAACAAACCCATCTTCAATGTACCCATCATCAAAGTATCAACAATTACCTAGGAATACCAGTACTCAGAAAATTTGCTACAGGTGTTTGGTCAATGTTCCAGCACTGGCAACTTCAATGGGAAAAAATGCAGGGCACACCAACATTTGTACCTGTAAGTTCTGGTATTTTTTTTTAAGAAAGATTTTAAAAGATTTTATAAATTTTCAGAGGGAGAGGGGAAGGGAGGGACAAAGAGGGAGAGAAACACCAATATGTGGTTGCCTCTCCTGCGCCCCCTACTGGGGACCTGGCCCGCAACCCAGGCCTGTGCCCTGACTGGGAATCAAACCAACAACCTTCTGGTTTGCAGGCTGGCACTCAATCCACTGAGCCACACCAGCCAGGGCTGGTACTTTTAAGAAAAACAAAACTTTCCATACAGAGTACACCACCATTTGAACAGGACTGTGATTGCTATTTTGTGGTGTTTCAGAATTCATAAATATCTCAGTGGGTAAAGATAAAGTGTTGGGTTTGGGGAATATTCCAATTTGCCCCATGCTCTTAATATGCTATCTTAGGACTCCACTCCTCTGGTCCCATTCACTACCTGATTATTGGTAATCATGGCAGCTGCAATTAGCAACTATTCGTAAAGGTCTCCACACCAGAATAAAGACTTCTTATTCTCTTTCACTTAATACCACCCTGTGAAGTAGATACTAATATCATGCTGGCATCATTTTACAGATGAAAAGGGGAACTGAGGAAATGACTTGCACAAAGTCACACAATGGCTAAACCAGGGTTTAAAGACATTTGACTGCAAAGTCCATGCACTTAACTCCTGGGCTGCCGGGTAACCTGAAAGACACCAGTGGTACTTAGGATGTGCAATGGGGTCAGCAAGATAAAGGAGGAAATAAGGATCTTGCTTTCACCAACATTCAAATATGGAAAAGAAATAATGTCATGAAACAATCCAGATAAAATAAGAATTGTTCAAACAGAAATGCTGAATTCATGCCTTTTCTTAGTGGTGCATCCTTTGCTTTTCGAAGCGTCAGCAGTTCCCTTTCCTTATTTCAGGAGCTGCTCTCTAGCAGGAGGTGACCCTGGCAGTAGTCACATCTGTGACTTCTTCACTTCAGCAGGCTATAAATTCCCTACTCATAAAATCCAAGTACCACCCCCTAGGTTTTAGCCCAATAAAGAAAATGAAGCATCTCATAACACCAACAGGGGGCAATGTTGCTCCGTTTTTTAGAATTATAAACTGAGACTCCAATTGTTTATCACGCCAGCTAACCGCTAACTGAAGGACGAGGAGATTCAGCATTGGCTCCCCCTCTGCCTCCCAGATGAAGTCTCATAGTTTTTCCTGGCACCTCCCAAAACGCACGCCCTCATCTCAGCACTTAGCACTGCCTTGTGAGCACATCTGGTCTTCCATCAGTGCTCACAGAATGCCCGGTCACTAGGCTCCTGTCTTTCACAGGGAGGTCAGAGTTTGCCTCAGTGTTACTGATTTGAAAGACTAAATGACCCACATAAAGGTATTTTTCTGAAGCCTGTACAGCACGCATGGATTACTGTTATAACCAGGAAAACCCAAATAAACATTACTCGACAACAGCTGTATCTAGCTCCCTTTGTTCTGGAGGTGCTTACTATCTCGTCTCCCCCCATCTTCACAGCTGTCTTTGCGACTTTATCTCTAACTATTTTTTCTATCGTCTCCTTCTCCATTGTGTTACCTACCAGGGTATGAACTAGGCTTTGTAACCCCTAGAGAAATGGTTATGGTAATGCTTACAACTTTGGTTTATCTGAAAGGGAAAAAAAGTATACATACCTACCATGTGCCAGACCCTTACATATATCATCTCATTCAGTCTGCAAAACTAAGTCAGGAGGTAGTAATCATCCCCATTTCACAGCCGAGGAAACTGAGGCCCAGAATGATTAGGAACAGTTCCCAAGGTTACCACCGTTTTCCTAGGTTAGACTTGGAATTTGGACCAAGTTTTCCTGACTTCACTGTTTCTACTCTATCAGAATGTACCATTTAAGTTAGGAAGATCTACCTTTGCAATATTGTTTCAGACTATGTAAACATTCTGAAAAATTTAAGTGCTTAAGACTTTCCACTTAAATTAGATTGCTTTGAAATAAAAAACAAATTACCTCTCAGTTTAACAATTTCACAAATATGCTTTTTCATATTAAGTGAGACATCCCCATATTTCACGAAATGGTAACAAGTCTTAAGATTTTTTCAACATATATATAAAAAGCAAAGATTTAAGATAAATTGATAGGTTTAAATATCTCAATTTAAAAAATGGGCCTCAGTAACAGCTTTAAGGAAGTTAACATTCATGGGGTAATTATTTGAGTCTGTAATGATATTTCTAAAAATTCAATTTGGTTGGCAAATCATAAATGGAAGGTGGGTGGTGGGGAGGAGAAACATTTCATTTCTTTTTAACCCAATTGCTCCCCCACAGGGGGAAACTAAGTTAAAACACCTCATTTAAGTAAATGATAGCTGCTTTTTTTTTTTTTAAAAAAGAGAAAATGAAAATGTTTTAACAATAAAGGCAAAATAATGACAAAATAAAAACTAATCAATAATAAGGGACTGCATATAAACCAATTACTTTATAGAAGTGAATCTCTTTATGAGGATCCAGGGCGGTAAAGGTGTAGATGTCACCATTTCCCCTCACAGCTGGGGGATGCGGTCTGAACCGTTAACCTCTAAAACTGAAAGCTAAGAGAATCAACAAACAATAGTCAACTACACAAGTAATTGCCTTCGTAGATAACAGGTAACTGCCGTCCTCAAGGCCGAGTGCTTCCTCCTTCCCCCACAATGAATCGTCACAGCAGCAAAGTACTGGAAGTACATTGTGAGCCGGGAACTGTGGAAAGAAACTTGTAAGGCCCAACCCACACAATCCCCCAGCAACCCTCTGGGGTTGATAACATTATTGTTTTTATTTTTTTATTGAGGTGAGATTCATGTAACATAAACCTATTTTAAAGCAAAAAATTCAGTGGCATTTAGTACAATGTTGTGCAACCACCTCTACTGAGTTAAAAAACATTACCCTGAAAGAGGCCTCTATAACCACTCAGCAGTTGCTTCTCGGTCCTCCCTCCCCACTGCCCCTGGGAGCCACGGATCTGTGTCTTCTCTCTGTGGATTTTCCTATCTGGGGTATGAAATTGGGGTCAAACAATATACAACATTTTGTGTCTGGCTTCTCTCACTTGGTGTGTTTTTGAGATTCATCTACGCTGTAGCACGTATTTCATGTGTGTGTGTGTGTGGTTGAGTAGTATTCCATTGTATGAGTACACTGATAACATTACCTCATTTTATAGATGATGGAAACAGAAGATCATATAGCCAGTAAGTGGATGAGCTGGGATGCAAACCTAGGTTTGACTCCAGACCAAGGAGCTCTTAGCCATTATGCCCCCAAGGCCAATCAGAAAGATCAAGGAATTGGTGAAACTTAATATCAAAATGAGTCTTACACATAGTTCAAGAATCCTGGAAACTGTAGGCGATGGATTCTAATCTGAGGAGGTGGTGCCTTAAAGGTAGGGCAGGTCTGTGGTTCAGAACCACACATGGGTGCCCCTCTACTTCCTGGGCTGGTCTAGCACTTCCAATGGTGGCTGCCTGATTCTGGCCACAGGTTCTTTAGAAGATAGGCTATAGGAAATTCAACCCACTCAAAGGACAAAATAGCCCCTTGGCACACAGAGGACCCTCTACAAAGTCCTGGCACTTCTCCACTTTCTGTGCATAAACAATGTTTGCTTTTGTTATCAGATAAACCTAACTTCCATAAACACATTTCAGTTCTCAAACCAGATTTAGCTTTGAACATATGCACTGTGCCTTCTTAGTCTTTTGCCAGTTTGATGGGTTTGAGTCACTCCTTCCAGGAAGGGAGGGGAAACCCCTTGGGTCGGGTGTTTTTTTGAGTGCTCCTTTATCCATATAACCACAATGAAGTAAATATTATCATCGGCCCCATTTTAGAGATAGGAAAATTGAAGCTCATAAAGGGAATGTAAGTTGCTCAAAGTCACATAACCACTGAGAGGTAGAGCTGAGATCTAAATGGGTCCTTTCTAGAAGCCTCATTCTGCTACCTAGCTTTCAACAGAATTCTCTCTGGGGAAACTAAAAGCTAAGAACCACACATTGCTCGAGATTCTTAACCTTGGATCCACAGAGGGTCCTTATGGAATCTGTGAACTTCGTAAAGGTGTATGTAAAATTACATGCATAGCAGGTTCCTGGGGAGAAGGATCTCAGGCTACAGCCCAAGCTTTGAGGTGGAGGGCCACAATCCAACCATGCCAGCACATACCCAGCCCTGTCTGGAGTGGAGGGCAGCCTTCTTTCATTTCCACCTGGACAAGCCCTAATGGGGCTGTATTTCTGACTTCATATGACTTTCTAGACTGGCGTCACTAGCTGTGGAGATCACGTAAAGGCACTGAATACAGGAGCTCCTTGGTCAAGTCCTTTGACTGTATTTCTGCTAGTGGCCATATACCTGAGCCTCAAACCTTTCTCCTGTGGATCTCAGGAGGTCCTTGACCTCAAAAAGCTGTTGTGGAATAAGAACGAAAATGAGTGTCTGCCCCACCTCAACTCCCATTATCTGAATATTTACTGTAACAATGTGCAAAAAAAAAGTTACCCTACATTGGTTATCCAAATGAAAAATTATGGATATTTAAGAGCCTGCAGCAAAATCATTCAAGTCGTAAGAGTCTGGACCAGAAAGAGGAAACAGCATGCGCTGCTTAGATGACTGATGCTTGCGCTGTTTGGACGTGTGGTCTATTACCACATGATCTTCCTTACTTTATTAAGTAAAAATGTCTCCTATGGAAGTGGAAAAGCCTGTGGAGAAGGTAGGTGAGTTTTAGAGGCCTAGGAAATACCCCTGCATTAGAAAAAAACAGTTGGAAGTGATAGTGCCTTGAGAAAAGTGATCATATAAGGCAGGAGTCCCCAACCTTTTTGGCACCAGAAGCCAATTTCAGGGAAGACCATTTTTCCATGGACCAGAAGTGAGGGTGGGGTAGTGGAAAGACAGGAGGCAGAGCTCAGGTGGTAATGCCAGCAGCCACGGACCAGGAGGAGGGAGGTGGGGGACCCCTGATATAAGGGATCTAATATTGGCCAAGCAGTTATCCGTCTCTTTTGTATTTTCTTTTTGCACTAGGTTGACAAAATATAACTTGTGAAAGATGGTTCCACAGAGTTTCATGATGTTCTTGACCGTGGTGTGCTATTTGTAATGAAATTCTTGTGGGGCCAGTCAGCCTGATGCCACTTGAATACATGTGGGTACAGTGGGCGGCTTTGAACGCCTTGGGAGAACTGGAAAGTAATAAAGGAGATAAAGGATTTGGTGAAGGACTTCAGTTTTAAAGCAAATCTGGAAGGGTCGAGAGATTTGAGAACCACCTAAGCTTGACGCTGTGAAGGGCGTGGGTGAAGCCACTTCCACCCTCAGTGAGGCTGCAGCATCTCCAGGAGAACTGCAGAATCTCCTGTAGGAGGGCTTATCACAAAGTAAACTTCCAATCTTCATGAATCGGAGCTTTAGTTTGAAAACAAATGCCACCTGAAACATTTATTTCAGAAGGTAAGAAAAAAGTGCTAGGACTTAATACTTTCGAAAATAAGCTAATACTGGTTTTAGCTGGAAACCAAAACCTGTGAGAGGGGCATCATTCTAGAAGCGCCAGGGCCCTCAGGTAATGCGGAGCAGTGCATGGCCTGCTATGTGGTGGTGTTCAAGTCCTATATGTAAAGAAGGGGATTCATACAAGGTTTCTTGGACTAAAGATGATGCTTTGGGCAGTCTTCTGGAACTTTCAGTTACAAGTATCTATGTGGTCTTTTGGCTTCTCTACGTCTTTACTGTAGCCTTTACAATAAAAAAAAAAAAAAAAAAAGCTTTGACGCATATTAGCTGATGATAAAGCACCTGAGATGGAGTGTTGATAGAAGGATCGTACTTTGATGAAGGATTTATAGAAGAGTGTTTACCATAAAGGCATCGGATGCACTGATTAGGCTTGCAAAGAAGCATCGCTATAAATGATCAATGAAATACAGAAGATCGACAACAAATGTTTTGAGAAAGTGATGATTCAAAGTGAAGTCTTTCACTTTGCTACGGATCCTGGAGTAAGCAAAGTGAACAGTAAAAATGTTGAAGAACTATTAGCATCCGTAGGCTGTCAGGAGCTCTAAGATCATGCAAGGGAATGCAAACAAGTACCCATTTTTTTTTTTTCATCTCAGCTTCCAAAGATGGATCTTAACCATCTACTTCTGCAATCGGTAGTGCCAAGGAGAAGACTTCCTGCCAGTATCTTGAATTTGGACAGTGGATGAGTCTCAGACATGTGTCCTCTCACTCCTACGCTGGCTCCCTTTAACCGCACCCCCACACCCTCTGTCCATTACCCTCCTCTTGTCTCCAAATACTATGCTTCAGGCAACTCTTCACTGAGATCTAATAAATTAAGAAAAAGCTTTGTTTATTGTGTTTACTAACACAATATTGTGCACTCATTGTGTATCTTTATACATTATTTCACCACCTATTTTTATTTCATAACAAGTTCACTGAAGCAAGACGCAATTTTTGTCTAATACTGCATAATATTGTATATTTTACACAAAGATGCCTACCAATTAGTTCACTGACCAAAAATTAGGTAATTGATGTTTTAAATGCTTTCTATGATTCAGAAATCCTTGTTAAATATTAAACAGATTTTTATGTTCTTGAGTAATTGGTTGAAGTTCTTGGACAAGCAGAAATGTGTGATTTTTTCCATTTAAAATAATGGGACATAACGTCCTGCAATCCCCAAATCGGCTTTCCAGCACTCTTTCAGGAACAGATTGGATGTGGGTAACTAGAGATGACTGTGTATAAAAGTGCTGCTTTGAGCACTGTAGAGTGCCACATAAATGTAGACTATTATCACTTTAAGGTAAAATCAGAGGAACACAGAATTTCCACTAGACGAGTCTTCTTGTGACTCATATACTCAGTGTCCTCACTGAACAGATGAGGACAGAGTGAGGCCCAGAGGCGAGGAGCTAGGGGTCAGTCACAGTCAGTGCCGACTTAAGGACAGAATCTGGAGTTCCAGCCCAGGGCTATTTTTCTCTCCTGTGTAACTTTATTTTTTAAAACACTAAGTTTTCTGGTTCTGGGAGCACCATGCCATTTAAAACCTTTAAATTAATGACCAATTACAATAAGAGGACTCTTTACCTTGCCCTGAACTTGGCTTATTGTAGGAGACTCAATAAATATTTGTTGGTAAAATCAGAAATCTGGGGTGGAATTGTTAAAGTTCATCTTGGTCACTCCTCTCTCGTGAAGAAACCCAACGGCTTAGAATCACTTCCTGTAACCAACAACAACAAAAAAAAAGACGACTGAATTTCAAAAACAGAAAGAACATGCATTTTGCAAAAAGCTGTCTATACAATGAGGATACCTGTTCCCATTCCTTGTAACTGAACATTTGGAGAAAATGTGAACATAGCAATATAAACCTTACGTGCAAATAGTATCTACCATAACCATGCAAAGATTTTAAAAGCTAAACTTGCCTCAGCTGACATATTCTACTAGCACTTTCCAGGATTAGGAGTGCCAGTACACAACTTGTCTTTAACATCAAAACCAAGTCTATGATGATACTGCTATATCCAAGCCAGCACGGAAAGAGAAGAAGTAGATATAGACTGGCATTTTATGAAAAGCGAACCTAGTGGGGATGGCAGGACAAAATGCAGGGACGAGGCGCTGCAGCCCCTGAGCAGGTCTGCAGTGGGATGGGGCAGTGAGACCAAGAAGGAAGGGTGCAATGTTACAGAAAAACAATGAGGTGTTGGATGTTGTGGGTGGGGTCAAAGACAGGGTGAGGGATGGAAATACTAAACACTGGGTGACTAGACAATGAACTTGGCGTCCCTGGCAGAGAAAAGCCTGCCAGGAAAACAAGGGGAAACTCAGCTCAACATAGAATCCCAGAAGTCAGATGAGCTCAAAGAAGGAATGAATGACCAGCAACATTTCTAGTCTCTGGGAATGAGACCCAGGAGAGGTTCTGGCTTGGCCAGGAGGTTCCAGGCCATCTGGAAGAGCACCTTCAGCTGACTGGTGAGGACAGAAACCAGATCACACTGCAGGTAAGGAAGCATCAGGAATTAGGGAGGCTTTGAGAGTGGGTTTAGCAGGGAAGGGCCTGAGAAGATTTTCTTTACCAAGGCAAGATGGGTTTCATTTGTTTTCTTGGGAGCACATGTTCAAAAGGACACAATATAAAGAACAGAATCTTTGGTATGACATGAATTATCTCTGAGTTTACGCACCTGAACTTTAACTCTTTTCATACATTCTGGTGACTCCATTTCTTTGTCAGTCATGGTAGAGGGTTTAATCAAATAGCATAGCATGAGTTCCTATTGAGAAATGAAAAATAATCTCCATATTCCACAAAATAAGAGTACAAATTTGAGTGCATCAGCAGGAAACGGAGGCAGTCTCCATTCCCTCGCACTGTGTCCCTAAAAACATCACAAAGCACATCAGTGTCCTCCTGGGAGCATTGAAACCGGGCTCACACTCTAGACTAAGGACCTGCCAGTCAGTCATTGTTAACATGTCAAGAGAATGCAAATAAAGTAGATATACTGATTATAGACATACAATTTAAAATATTAAATATGTGCTATAAGTCTCAAAAAGTGAGCATAAAAACAAGAAACAGTAAGTGGGGACTCCTTGTTTCTATATATAGGACTAAGTTACTTTTTATAGGCCAAAGCCTAAGCAACTTAACCTGTGCTCAAGACAGCTTCAGCTCCCACCATACCTCCAGCAGCAGTGGGACAGAGTAGGGAGGGGGCCCACAATTTTAGTTAGCAAGGTACTGAATCACAGAGAACACACAAGGCTCTCATCCTTTATAGTCCTGGCGACTTCCCTCTTATCTTAAGGGCAGCAGGAAGCAGAACACAGCCAGGAGTCAGCTGGCTCTGGGTTTGAGCCCCAGTTTTGCATATGCGCTGCATGATCACGGGTGGCTCACTCACAACGCCTCTGACTCTTCTGTTCCTCACTCTCAGGATGAGGATAATATACAGGTGGTAAGAAAAAACATGAAGTGTTTAGCAAAACATATTAATTCCCTTCTTGCCTTTTCAAAAGATCTGTGAACTTTGGAAAGAAATGTGTCAGTGTTCGGACTTCTTTCTGAAGGTGTGGGTGAATTTGGAGCGTATGCTGGCTGTGTTTACCAAAGGCATCCCAGAGAAGAAAGGCAATGCCCACCAACACCAATCACTGCCGGAAATTTGGAAGCTCAATTCCTGGATTAGAACCAGCTGGTGGTGGGAGTGGACATGAAAGGAGGGCAGGGTCTAGCCCAATCTTCCAGAACTTCACTGATAGAATAGTCTGAAGTTTCTACAAGTGAGTTTTATTTCTACTACATTTAAGGAAAAAAAAATCCAACCATTTACGTGACAGGTAATGCTAGAGCTCATGTTACCTTGGAGACATTCACTGAAACTCTGCTTAAGGTAGCCAGTGACTTCCAACTGAAAGGTCTGCGAAGATGGCCCTCAAAATGGTCATCAACTAACTCAATAATGACAGAGTAACTGAAAAACACACAAAGGGTGTTGTAAAAACAAAAAGCATGGAATCAATCTCTTTAAAAAGAATATTGTTTGTCCTACCAAGAGCAAAATTACAGAAAAAATAAAATGTACATCGTCCGATCCTCAACTCCCCCCGACTGTTACTGAGAAAATATTAATGAAAAACTCATACTTTGTTATAAAATTTTAGACTGATTTCAACACATAGGAAAGGAACAGAAATATTTCTCCCAATATGAAAGTCAAGAATTCACTCAACTGTTTAGATACTAATACTCACTGATATTAAGATGAACAATTACTACATAGGTTAACTCAATGTTTAATACTAAAAGACATATTATCATAACCTATTAATTATTTCATTTATAGTATAACAATGATGGTGTTTAAGGCATGGGCATATAGTATTTATCTTTGTCAGGCCAACAGGAACGTGACTAATTGTTTCTGTGGCACTGGAAAGTAAAGTGGATGCCAGAAATTTCAGGTCCCTTTAAGCCATTAACTTATTTAAAAATCACTCCAAACCTTGCATGGTAAAACGGAGGTCCTTTTCGATAGAGCACTGCAAAGAAAAAGAAAGAAAATGTATAACTACCCGAAACCAAAATCTTACTTTATTAATTCTTTTCTTCAGAGAGACATAACCACCCAATTATCTTTATGTAGGAAATCTGCAATCTGCCCTCTAGTCTCTTTAAAACCCAAACTGTTTCCCCTCTGGAATAAAATACAATTAAGTAAAGCAAATCTGTTGCTAAGACCTTATGACCCTCCTCCTGTACCTACTCCACAAATGAATTCCAAAGTCAAGTTCAAGTGATTCTTCTCTTGCCTCTCATTTTAGACTCTCTAGAATAAGAGCTTGAAGTGTATCAAGAACGTGAAGTTTGACAATTGGTTATGCATGTTGAATCAATGTAATTCCAAGTGTCTGAGCTACTCTGGCCATGTACTGATGTAGGTGTTGGTGCTGGAGATGAGCAAGGCTCATACCTATTTTTAAGAAATTCAAAGTCAAGTGGGGGAAAAATCACATAACCATACACACCACTCAGAGATCAGTCTGCCCTACTACAGTAGTCCTCTCTCTTATGCCTGAAGGTTCCAAGACCCCCAGTGGGTGCCTAAATCTGCGGATAGTACCAAACCCCTATATATGTGTTTTTTCTTATACATACATACCTATATTAAAGTTTAATTTATAAATTAGGCACAGTAAGATATTAACAACTAATAAAATAGATCATAACAATATATTGTAATAAAAGGTATGTAAATGGCTTAGGTCCATTATTAAGGTAAAGTAAGTGTTACTTGAACACAAGCACTGCGATACCCTGACAGTTGATCTAATAACCTCGCTGGCTACTAAGTGACTAACGGATGGAGATCATTTACCGCATGGAGACACTGGACAAAGGGATGATTCGCATTTTGGGCGGGAGGGAGCAGGACAGTAAGAGACTTCATCATGCTACTCAGAACAATGCACAATTTAAAACTTATCAATTGTTTATATCTGGAATTTTCCATTTAGTATTTTCAGACTTACTTTGACCACACATAACTGAAACCGAGAAAAGTGAAAGGTCAGGTAATGGGGGACTAGTGGTAATTCAATTAGTGGAGGTCAAGAGCTGCCGTGCAAAGCATGGGGCCAGGGACTCTGATATGCGGATCCTGGAACTGCACAGAGCATACTTTGGAGGCACAGTCTCGGGCAGGGAGGTGAACACCACATGCCTTGCAGGAGTAGGAAGATTAAATAAAACGAGAAGAAAAGCACCAAAGCAAGGTTCCTGGTCGCCAAAGGAGCCAACGTCCACAGGAGCTTTTGGGTGGGGAATGTAAAGAAAGGTCCCCCCCATCTCCCCTTCCACTCCCTTGGTTTCTAGTCTTGTTTTCACCAGTGGGTGATCAAGGTAAACTAGCTCAGCAGCTGCACTTGAGATCCATATCACTTGTTCCAAATACTGCTCCTGGAATGAAATTTGACTGACAAGATTTATTCAAGGAAGAGTTTCCCTGATAAGATGTGAATTTCATAACGGCCCTTTGTCATGAGTCATTAGCTCTGTAAGCAGAAACAACTGCTAAGTGAATGTCCTGAATTTAACCTGTGTTGGCAGTTCTAAGGTACATGTGATTATATCACTAGCCTTCAAAATTAAAATAATACTGTTAAAAACCAGCGGCATGGAGCAGCTGTGCCTAGAGAAGGGGTAGGAAGCACTGCTTGTGAACCTTCGCTACGGCAGCAACTGTGAAGACACCCTTCATATGGCTGCTGGGCCAGGGACCTGGTCTCACATTAATTATACAGGCAGCTTCAAGCGCATGATATGTCCCAGCTGTGGCAAAGGCCTCTGGGGAGTTGGGAAATAGCGGTTGATTTATTTCTTTTCTTTCTTGAAAATCTGTCTGCTTGTCCATTCTTTTATTCATCCTTATAAGGCAGTTTATTTTTAAGTTAGGAAACTTCTCTCAACATCCACAAATATGGCCTGAGTATTTAAAATACGTGAGATAAGGTATACTCAGAAGGCACTCAACAAAGGCCCCATTCCCCTGCAACTAATTTTTAAAAAAATAAAGATGTTATTTTATAAAGAAAGTATTGTTATCCATGTTATATGGTGACCAAATGAAAGCTCAGGGAGATGAAGAAATGTGCCTGAGGTCACACACACCACACACCTCACAGGAGTATGAAGGTTAAGTAAGAACGAGAGCCGGCTGTGAACCCAAAGGGTGTTCTTTCCATCACCCCGAGCCACCTCGTAATGTATCACTGTAGCCTGTCCACTGGAAAATTCTACTCAAATTGCAGCATATAATGAGAAAGTTGGAGAAGACCTGCCAAACATTTATACTGAGCAGCTATTCTTACACGAACAGGAAAAGGAGAAAAGGGCAGGAAGCCAATAAAGAAACATGAGACAGGCACATCACTTATTTAAGCAATGTGACCTGTGGCCAACACAATTATCTGGAAACCTAGCAAACTAATCTCAAGCTGATCCTGATCATTTCTGTGGTAACTCTGAGTTAGGATATCTGTACCTGAAATCCAGGCACGGAAGAAACAAAATAAACCATCTATCTTAGAAAGATGGGTGATCCCTAACATTTATTTTAAATTGCTGACCCTCTTTGAGAATGTCATAAAAACTATGTACTCTTGACCCAGAAAAACACACCAATCTACAAACACAATATTTTGAAAAAAGATTTCAGGGGGTGCAAGGGGCCCCCTGAAGACCATCCTATGAATCTAGGTTAAGCACATTCAACTTTAGAGCATTTAAAAATTTTAAAGACTGAAATGGTTTTCTTTGGGTATTTAAAAAGACTCAAAAGCATATGACACAAGTATTTGACAGAGCTCAAAAGACCTCCTGGGCCATGACTTAGAAGCCCTCTCAAATATTTTGCAATTTTTGATTCAACCTCACGAACAACTCTGAAAAGCATCGAGGAAGCACTCTCTCTTGACAGATGAGGAGAGCAACTGTGGGGACTTACTGAAGGAGACGCTGGCGCCGACCATGTTCACGTACCCGGGCCTGTGCTCTAAGTGCCAGTTACATAACGACGACTCCAGTTTTACGTCTCAATGCTCCGCTGCCCTCCAGACCTGCCTATCTTCACACTATCTCCCATGGGCTTACCTAAAATGTCCCAAACATTAAGCCAAATATCTAGGCATTATCCCTGATTCCTCTTTTACCCACAAATCTCACGTCCATTCCATCCACAGGGCTGGTTGTGCTTGGCTCCCTTAACTAGTCACTCTCCTTCCATTTTTGCCTTCCTGCAGTCTACTAATAAGAAAGCAGATAGAGGGTCCTATTATATCAAGTCATTAAACTTAAATCACTCCCTTGCTCTAAATCTCCCAAGACATCCAATCAGCAGAATAACATCCAAAGTGTCTGTCAGGCCCTCCGTGACCTGGCCCCAGCCTAATGCTCAGACATCACCTCATGTCACTTTGCCCTGGATCTCTAAGTTCTAGACACATTGTCCTTCTGTTGTTCCTGAGACCGGCTGAACTTGTTCCTGCCTCAGGGCCTTTGCATTTCCAGTTCATGTTGACTATGTGTTCTTCCCCAAATTCTCAAGTGACCTGCTCCCTCATTGTGGTCACAATATTTTCAGAGTGCGCTTTCCTGACCACTTATACTAACTTTCTGTACTCTCTATCCCTTTACTCCGCTCTTTTTTTCTTATAGTACTTATAAGCATGAGAAATCATATTATGTATATATCTGTTTGCTTGTTTGCCCTCCCCCACCAGAAAGTAAGCTGCTCCATCAAGGTGGCTTTGTGTTGGTCTTGTTTACCTCTATATTCTAGGCACCTAAAAAGACCTGGATCACAGAAGATCCTCAGTAATTCTGTTGAATGAAGTGCTCACCTGGCTGGGACTCCTCACTTGGTAAAGAACAGTGGAGGAAGAAATGTATATAAGTTCTAAGAGTCTGGGCCCCAAAATTCAAAGTCCAGCTCTATAGGTTACTGGTCCTGAAAACTGTTAGAGGCAAATGGCCCATTCTCCCAAAACTACAGTCTACCTCTTAGAAAAACGATCATAGTAAGTACCCCTTGCATCGGACTGCTGTAAGGATTAAATGAGATAATGAATGTAAAACACTTAATACAATGCTTGGCTCAATAAAAAACAGCTGTAATTATTGTTACAATAATTATTCTCATTTGCCAGATGAGGCAAATGAGGCCCAGAGGACAAGGGACTGTCCTATATCACGTGAACACATGGCTACTGAGAGATGGGGGGAGCGGCTGCCGTAGAACTCTTTTCTAAGATTACAGAGCAGATGAGAGGAAAAGCCTGCCTTGGGGCCTCATGCTTCTACTCCTGGGCTTTTCTCCTAGATTGCCTTTTCATTCTTTCTGGACATACTCTGAACCCAATCCAAATATCCAATATTCTTATGTGTGCCAGAAGGAAGAACCTCTTAGAAAAGATCAGCAATAGCACATATAACCAATCTGATTTTCATCCTAGGATCTGATGCAAACCTTGGTTCTCATACCTACCAAGCTACGAATTACTTACGTAAGTCTGTTCCGTACTTTAGTCCTATTTTTGGCACCCAGCCTTTGCTTCGGAAGTAATGGTATGCCATGTAGGTAGTCCGGAATGTGGGCTGAATTATGGTGAAAACTTTCCAGAGTTTCACAATCGTTAAAGGCTCCTAAAGTTAAAAATTAATTAAAAAAATACATGTACTCATCATTCAGCAAGCGAATCAACATCTATAAGTGTGAAGCTAAAGCAGTGACTAAAACAAAGGGGATTTAACTAGTTCTAGACCTGTGCTGTCCAACGGCATGTCTGAACGGAGATGTGCTGCAAGTGTAAAACACATACGAAATTTCAAAAGCTTAATGTAAAAAAAGCCAACAAAAAAAACCCATTTCAATAATTCTGGATTTGCTGAGTTAAATAAATTATGTAATGCATTATGAATTAATTTCACCTGACCTTTTTTCCTAAGATCTTATTTACTTATTTTTAGAGAGGGGGAAGCGAGGGAGAAAAAGAGAGAGAGAAACATTGATGAGAGAGAGAAACATCGACTGATTGCCTCTTGTACGCACCCTGTCTGTAGACCAAACCCGCAACACAGGCATGGGCCCTGCCACGGAGCTGAAGCAGTGACCTTTCGCTTTGCCCAACCAACTGAGCCACACCGGTCAGGGCACTGCATGACTTTTCCAAAAAAACCTTTTTAATGTGGCAACCAGAAAATTTTAGATTATACAGGTGGCTCCTGTCTGAGGCTGCCCTGAAAGACATCTGAGATGAGAAGGAAGTAGCCAAGTGAAAGGGAGTGGTGGAGGTCCAGGGGGAGGAAGTGGTAATGGTGGCTGGGGGAGAACATTCCAGGTGGAGGAACGAGTGCACGCTGGTACTCAAATGTAACAAGTCCACAAGGGCCGCGTGTTCCAAAAGACCCTAAACAGTAGCTACTGTATGTCAGGCCATGCTTAAGAAGGTCACAAATAATTTTGTAAAAAGCTTTTGAATAATGGTCCATTTAGTTTTTGAAACTAGAGCCTTTATCTGATTGCATAAATTAATAATCCAACTGCTTATAAGGGAATTATGTTTCTAATGTAGGACTTAAGAGACAGAATGGTTCGGTTCAGAGAACATTCTAATCTATCAGTACAAAAAAAAATACAACAACAAAAACTAGCCAAGTTTGGAAAGTTTTTGCCTCATTTCAGTGCTTAGTAAAATGGTCAATACTTCAGTTGGTTTAGGGTTTAGTCACTTGAAAAGATTTGCTCAGCTGGCTCAGATGAGGATGTTAATACCATAAATATGTGTTAGAGTTATGGGGTTTTTTCCCTTTTACTTTTTTGGAGTTGTTCCTAAGGTGGAATCTCCATATGTGTGTGGCCTTCAAATCCCACTGCGAGGAAACATTCAATCCCTCCTTTGAGAATCAAGTCTTGTATAGAAGGCTGAACTTCCAATATGGACAGCCCACCGTGTCCCAGATGTTGAGGATTCTATGTCGCAAATGGAATGCTCTGACAAATTTCAGTTAAGGCCCAGGAGAGGAGACAGGGTGGGCTAAGAATGGCCACCATCTGGAAAAATGAGTCACCCATCAGCTAGACACCAATTTCCAAACCAACGGAATACTTGTGAAAAAGATTTATACAATTAGAACTTGATGAATGGTAAAATTATGTACTTCCAAGAAGAAAATAAAATATGCTTTCTCTGGTCTATTTACTGTTCTCTTTTTTAATTTTAACTTCATTTGAGTTATTTTGAATATTTATTATATTCACATGGTTCAAAATTGAAAAAGTACAAAAAGCGTACAGTGGAAAGTCTCTCTTCCATCTGTGGGCCCAGCCTTCCACTTCCTCTACTAGAAGGCAAGCAACGGTATTAACTCCTTATGGGATGACCTTTCTTCTAGAGGAAGCAGACTACTCTGCAAAATCATGGGCATTGGACCCTGGGTGAATTGTTTAATTTCTCTGAGGCTCACTTACCTTACTTATAAAATTCTTACCAGATGGAAGTAAGGATTAGAAGTATTGTATGTGAAGCACCTAATAAACAGCCTGAAGTAGTGCTAAACACTGGTAGCTTTTATTTTTATTATCAATTTTTACTACTGTTCTGACATAGATTTCCTGGTTCTATATAAGATATTGCTCTTCTCCTAACCTCTGGGAATAAAACTCAATCCAAAAAGGTCAACGCTAGCTCTTGCCTGAGCAGTTCCAATTCAGGACCCAAGGCTGAAACTTAGAGAAAAAGCCAATTCCTATTTTATTCAGTGAAAGTAGATATATTTGTATTGAAGCAACTGAAATTACTACAACCTGCTTTTAACATCAGGAAAATTTAAAGTTTTTTGTATCTAAATATAACTTCTTACCTTCTCATAGTAAATACTTAAACATCCCAAAGCATAGACCAGGAAGAAGGCCTAAAAGGAGCAAGCAGAAAATTCTCATTAGAAACTATTCCACATTCCTGAAAAATATTATTACAGATTGATTGGTTTATGCCTCAAATACAAATTAATGTCCTTGAATCATCATCAAGTACTCACATATTCTTAACAGAAATGGTTCATACAATTTTCAAGTATTAAAAAAAATCTAAGAAAACATAAATGTTGCAGACTGGTTTAAAACCAGTAAAAAAAGACCACCCACTCTCACCACTTTTATTCAACATAGTATTGGAAGTCTGAGCCAGAGAAATTAGGCAAGAAAATGAAAAAAAAGGGCACCTAAATTGGAAAAGAAGAGGTAAAACTGTCACTATTTGCAGATGACATGATATTATACATAGAAAACCCTAAGGAATCCACCAAAAAGCTATTAAAACAAATTCCACAAAGTTGTAAGATATCAAATAAATAAAGAAATCTGTTGTTTTTATACACTAATAATGAACTACCAGAAAAAGAAATTAAAAAAAACAATCCCACTGACAATTGCATCAAAAAGTCTAAAATACCTAGGAATAAAGTCAATTAAGGAGATGACTTGATAAATGTCAACAGATACTATCCACATAACAATGTTCCTTGAAATCCTCAATAATTTTGAAGAGAATAAAGTGGTTTCAGAGCTACTATTTTAGTTTTACCTGGATCTAAATCTAGAGCTTTTTGAAGATGAAGGTCGTTACTTGCCAGTCCCAATCACCCAGGTCCAGCCAGAGTTCCTGCCTGGACTTCTGCCAAGGCCTTTTTGCATTCACTTGGTCCCTCCTAGTTCACTCTGCACAGGAGCCAGAGCCATTTTCTTAAAACATAAAGATGTGGCTCCCTTGACTATTAGCCTCTGAAGGGCTTTGTTGCATTCTTGCTTCCTTCCACCTGCAGCCCCTCCATGTATGACCACCAGTCTCTCTAGCTGTCTTGGCTTCACTGCTGTCCCCTGAACACACTAAGCTCATTTCTGCCTTCCTAACTGCTCTTCTCACATCTGGCATAATCTGCCCCCAACTCAAAGGTCATTTCTCAGAGAGGTCTTCCCCAACCACAAGGTTTAAGTAACCTCCGTCCTGACTGTCTTCTTCAAAAGAGCACTTTTGTCTGAAAATATTCTTCTCATGTGTGCCTTTACAAATAGAATGCAAACTCTGTGAGAGCACAAAGGTCTAGAAAAGGGTATAGCATACTGTGGGTGCTCAATGCCTGTGCTGAAAGAATAAAGAGATAGGTCCCTGGATCCTGCCCCTTGGCTTAGGCCCAAACTACCAGAGACACCTGGAGCACACTGGGCTCTTTTAGCTCCTTCCTCCTCAGTGTGGACACTATGCTCTATTTCTCCTTTCAGCTACTGGTGATGACCTCCCCGGTGTCCAACAACCTTATTTTGATCTTTACCCTTCCCATTACCCACTTACTATTACAGAATATCTGTCCCTCCCTTCAGCTGAACACTAATTGTTGCTAAAAGTGCAAGAGAAAAGACAAAGTTGGTTCCTTAAAGGACAGGCAAGTCCTTTTTTCCCTTTCATTTTCTCTTTTCTTGGTTCAGAATGTTGTTAACAGGAAGAATGAACTTTGACATATGACAGATCTGGGATGGAATCTTCATTAACATCCAGGGCCTTGGAAGTCTGCTTAAACTCTCCTACCTCACCTATAAAATGGGAATGATAAAGTCTTCTTAAAGATTTAATGAGATTAAATTTCATCAAGATTTAAAAAGCTCTGCAAAGCACTTAAGTGCTCAATTCATTTTAGTTTTCCTCCCTTTCTAAGAACCATTTACATAGTGTAGTCTGGAAAAGATCAATCCAATTTTTGCCTAGCAAGAAATTCCTTCCTGGTATGTTAGAATTTAAGTTCTTCAGAAACTTTCCATTATTAGCAAACATGTATTTCTCTAAGAACTGATGAAACCAATGTCTCATTTTTATTGACCTAAAATGGCTTTTATGAATCAATGCAAACTGATCTTAGGCACTTAATACAGATGGAGAGGATCTTAATTCAACTGAGTTGGTTTTACTTAGAATTAAATCATCAGTAGATGGTGGAGGGGGAGGGGTAGTGGTCTGTGGAGGCTGGTGATTTTGTCCCTTGAGATCTCACTGATAAGCTTTTGCTTTGATAGTACTAATAAGATAAAGGGATGAGTTTAACGATGATTTTAATGTCCTATCACTAAATCTACTTAGGGCAAATCATTATAACAGAAAAGCAGCTCTCAGTAACAGAGCTCTGAGAGGCAGATCTTTAAATCGGCTGTGGTAGTACCATTCAACCCCTAAAAAAGAAGTGCTTTGAGTCACTGCAGCAGGGCTCCTTGTGTTCCTGATGGATGTTTACGGAAATAAGTTAAACTGTACAAGTGGTGTGCCAAACATGGGTGATCCTTTCAAAGAAAGTCTGACAAACAGAACTGAGAAGCAGAGCCAGCTTTAACTGCATGTTCCTTGAAAACTTCTGCAATATATCTCTGGAGTGTTCTCAGGAGCCAAACAGCTTCCAGGAATGCAGAGCAACCTCATCTACACTCTTCTATTACTCTTGCCTTTTTTCAGGGAGTGTTGGGAAGGAGGCTTTTTATTTGTCACTAAAAGCAGGAACTGCTCACACACCTGGGACAGTAACGTTGAACTCAGTTTCTACACCAGATACTCTCGCCAGGCCTACTGCTGCCACCTCCCAGAGCTGGGAGCCTGGGAGGGTCTTCATGGGTCAGCCCTCCAGCCCACGTTCATACTGGTGCCAACTCTGGTTTCTGCCACTCCCCTACATCACTGCCTGCAATGCTCCAGGGCCACCATGACCAGAGTGACACCCACCACAATCTAGCCCTCCTTTGCGGTCACTTCCTGGGTGACGTGATGAGCTGCATGACGGGTGACCCAGAGCCCATACCGTCCCCTGTGTCCATCTGGCAATCCCCTATTTATTCTTTAGCATCTGTAGATATCACCAACTCTATAAAGTCTTTCCAGCTAGCGCGTGTCCCTCCGGACTCCATCAGTTTCTGTGCAAATTCCATACCTTGTACGCATCTATTTAACAAGTAATTATTAAGTACCTAATGGATGTCAGGCACTGGGTACAAGGACATAGGAGGAGCAACACTGGGACAAGATGTATCTATCTCTCTCACACTGTGTTTATCACACTGAATAGTAATAATTCCTGAGCTATGTTTAGGACCAGAGCCATATTCTATTTATTTCTGTATTATTAGTACTTAGCCCGGTGCCTGGCATACAGTAAATATCCAGTGAATACTTTTGCATATGGACTGCATACACCTAAAACTGAAGAGAAAGAAAGAAAATACATGCAGAACAAATGGAAGCACTAAATGCTATATAGAGGAGATTGCATTTTAAAATGAGCAATTTTCTTACACATTTCCCTGATTCCCATTTGTTGGATTCATATGGATAAACATTTTTTTTTAGTTGATATAATAATATATACCAACTATATTTAAATTAAAAAATACTGTTGTGAAAGAAAGAGTTCCAATTAGCTACTAAATAGCTTTTAAAAGTAACTTAATAATGATGATAATGACATGAATAGCGGGCACTAACGCTTGCTGAGCATTTACTCTATACCAGGAACTGTGCCGAGCCCATTACATGCATGATTTACTTTCTAGAACATCTTATGAACAAGGTGTTCCATAACCCTTATTTTACAGAGAAGAAAGTTGAGACTCAGAGAGGTCAAGCACCGAGAGAACGTGTATCCACAGTCCTGTCCAAGAGAACTTTCTGTGACAATGGGAATGTTCTACACATGTGCTGTCCAATACAGTGGCCACTAGCCACATGTGGCTGTTGAATATTTTAAATGTACCTGGCATAACTGAGAAACAGGGTTTTGAATTTTTTTTTAGTTTTAATTAGTTTAAATTAAATAGCCACAGACAGCTAGAGCCTACTGTATTCAACAGCAGACTAAGTGGTCTCATTTGTAAAATGAGGAGATGAAGTAAGTAATTCCAAACATCCTTTCCTGCTCTGAAAGTCTATTCTTTGTATCACTGGCTTCACTGCAAGGAAGGAAGCACAGACCAGGAAATCAAGAGGCTATGGAGACACAATTACTTCCCTGGTAACACATCTATGAAATTACCCATGTGTATGTACAGTATAAATGTAAGCAAAATAGAGGAAGGACTGAATGTCACACGAACACAGGCTAGAGGAACTCCAAATCAGAGGAAAAACACGATGCAGTTGTTAGAAAGCCACTTTTTTAACCAACTTTTGAGAAAGTAGCTACTGTTTGCATATATTAGCAATTCTGCAGAAGGAAATACCCGAGTGCCTTTAGTAATTAGCAGTCATTGCATGTCTTGAAGCATGCAGCGCAGCTTACTAGAAGTTGGTTAAACTCCACAAATACACTAAAAACCACTAAACTGTAAACTTTAAATGAGTGAATGGTATGGTATGTGAACTCTATCTCAATAAACCACTATTTTTGAACTTGGTGAAAATTAGTAACATAATATTCGGCCAATCTAAAATTTTGATGTGAAAAGAAGTGCTTAGACAAATCCCTTAAAACCTCTGTGGAATGATATAGAGAACGCCTTCTCTATAGAACTTAGAGAACACATCTTAGAACTGATAAAATGAAGACTAAGGAGGGAAATTTAGGCAGGCCTACTCTGGAAGCTGCCTAGGGTGACCTCAATACCAAATTGTGATATTCAATTACTGATTACTCAGTTACTAAATTACACTCAGAATTGCATTCTGAGGTAGACTCATCGATACAGTGTTGCCCAGTCCCAGAGACCAAATGGTGAAAAGAGAACAGGCTGGAAACATACCTCTTCCAGGCTGAGTTGCAAATACTCAAAGATCCTTAATGGATTTCTTCTGCAGATTAACCTCTTTTTTTGTGCCAACTGAAAAGAAAGAAGTAAAATACATATGTAATAAATGAAAGCACTAGATATTATACAGAGGAGACTGCATTTTAAAATAATTTTCTTATAAATTTCCCAGATTTCCATTTGTTGGATTCATACTGTTAAAAAGTAATTTTTTTGTTACTTACGTAGAAAAAAAGTTGTTTTTCTACTAACATTTTTATTTATTTCCTTTCTTTTTGCCCCATGAATTTTTCCTGTAGTGATCCTTTTGTTCGTTGATTTTATGTGTTGCTTTTTTTTCACTGCACCTCACAAGCATGGGCCTAGGTTCTTAATGAAACATCATAAACCTCATCTGAAAGGCTAGATAATACTTCTTCAAGTGGGTGTTTCACATACTACCACCTAACCATTAGGCTGTTTCTCATTTTTAGCTATTACAGATAATTCTACGGCAACTCTGAGAGCGTTTCTCTTAATGAAGTGGCTGTGAATCTGCTTCCCAGGGCTTCTCTTGGGATGCCCGACTTCCACACTTGAGATCTGCCTCTGCGGGTACACAAGACGATGTGCAATCACCACTGCATTTTTCCCCCTCCCAAACAAGGGAGGATTATTGGACCTACTTTAATTTGTATATTTTTAAAATGTTAAGTTATTCACAAACTTTAAGGTTTTAGTTCAAATAGCCCTCACAATTACTGAGCCGCCAGGGCAGGACCCAGCGCTTGCTGGTCCCCATGCAGTGTCAGCAGTGTGGTGTCATGATTGCCTCTCACATAAGCTGGGTGCTTACTATGGGCCTGCCACCAGTTCCAAGCAAGGGACACCCAATTAGCCAACATCTCCTATGAGCCAGGAACAGATGGTTTTGGAAGAAGTGATTTATTTTCTTCTACTTACTTCCTCATTTGGGGCATCTTCCCTCTCACTGACATCATCGCACACAACTTCCTCCACCAGCACATACTCATTATCAGGGCCTCTCTCTCTGGCACAGAGGAGACCTGCCCGTTGCCTGCTGTCCTGAGTGTCTCCCTGGGGGAGGAGAACATCTTGTTTGCCACAACGGACTTGTTGGGGCAGGGGTGCAGTGTCCTCTGACATATGTTCATCCAAGCCGTTTGCAGTTAGTGGGTCATGCCCAGAGCCTTCCTGCAGGCGGCCTGATTGCTTGTTGGGATCCTCAATGTCATCTGACTTTCCTGAGCCCCCGTTCATCACATAAAGTGTCTCTTTCTCCACTGTGGCTTCTGTTTTGGAAACTACTTCAGAATTCAGCTCATCATGCAATGGAATGTCTTCATTCCTTTTTATGCAAGGATGCTCAAGTGGTCTTGTATAATCTTCAAGGATTCTATGCACTGTACTCTCATCCTGAACCTGTCTTCGCATGAGCTTTGTGGCCCATTCTACACTACGCTGATACCTGCAAAACAGAAATCCTGTTAGTAATAACACTTGAATTTCAGTATTTAAAAGACAACAGAGTGTGTAAAAAAGACGGGAAGGTAGCATGCCAAAATGTATGTTATTTTTTACTCAATGGCAGGCAATAGGTAAATGTTTTCTTTACACTTTTCTGCATTTTCTAACTGTTCTGCCATGAGCATGTGTTACTTTGTTTTTATTATAGAGATTCATTTAAGTTGCAAAGAAAATTAACCTCAGTTTAACAAAGTATGAAAATTTTTGTAATTTAAAACTGGTAGACCAAATGCTTTTTGGTAAATATAAAAGGAAAATGGCCATCCTTTGTCAGAATTTGTTCTGTATTATTTTCAATTTAGGTTTCACATTTTCAGATAAATCCCATTCATAACATAAAGAGCCTTTGTTATTATTGGAAAGCAAAAATGAAAATTCCAGTAAATATTTTTCAAGTACCTCCTAAAGTCTCCACTGCACATGAAAAAAAGGATGATTATGGTTATGTACATAAAGCTAAATAAGCATCCTAATAGAAATGGCCCCTTCTTCCATAATAATTTTTAAACTATATTTTAAAGTAAAACTACATGCTTAATTTCTTAAACTTGAAAGTTATAGTAAGACAACAGAGTTCTGCCCTGGCAAAGAAGCATCCACACTTAACAGTGCTGCTGGGATGCGCTCATGGGATGTGAGGCCACCGCTACATGTGGGAAGTCTGATCCGAAGAACACTGAAGACACTGGGAAACTCACACGCTTTTGCCTCTACCTATAGAAGTTAGTATAAAAAACACCTACGAAGGCAACTGGCTTGTAAAATACATATGTAACTTTATGCTTCACCTTGAGCATTTTATCTGTGTATGGAAGAATGAATATATCGTAGCTTATAAACTGCTACAGCTCACATAGAGTTAAATGAGGAAGTTGGCTTCTGCTGTATTTAAAAAAGAATATGAGGCTGCTTAATCCTGATTCATCAGAAGAATCTCCAAGCTGTCGGCATCCTGTTTATCTTACATGGGGATGAACATACATTCTTATATAGGTGAAACAGTATCTTAGATTTAAAAATTAAAACCTGGCAAGGCTACTCACACCGAAGCAGCAGGATGATGCAGTGACACACATTTTGTGTTTGACCCTGACTCTGTTACTTATAATTGTGTGACAAAACCAATTACTTAACTTCTCTGTGCTTCAGTTTCTTTACTCATAAGTTGGGGAAAATAGTACTATTACCTCAGAAGAACTGTGTTCTTTACTACTTTTTATAATCAGGGCAAAAGAGGCAGAGGCACAAACAACAGCAAGATGTCTTTTCACCTGTATGAAAAGTAATGTTGTTTGCAGTTTTAAAAGAACTTCCACTTGAAAGATCTAAAAAGAATCTTTTCTCTTCCTATCACCTAAATTATTGGTTCTATGGCCTTATGGGCCCTAGACCATTTATTTGCATACAAATAAAGAGAGAATCTTCTTTATTTGTATACAAATTTTTCTGTCAATGTGTATTTTTGTGGGAAAGGGATCCACAACTTTGATCAAATTCTTTGACTCAAATATAGGAAAGAACCACTGACTTAAAGGTTCAGCAGGACCTCCTTTGAGCAGAAGATCTGAAATTGAGAGACAGAGAAAATACACACAGGTCACTGCTCTGCATTTTGCAGAAGAGCGGTAAAGGCAGATGTGAGAACTCCATCACGTTCTCGTACTGGCTGTATACCCTTTTTCCTAAGGCTCAGTTCTTCCTCTGTGAACCAGGGGTTACTGTACCTTCCTCACAGGGTTGCTGCAAGGACTAAAGGAGACAAGACATGTAAAGTGCTCAGGACACATTATTAAGTGCTCAATAAATATTTGTTACTACATGATTGTGGGGTTTTTAGGGAGATCTGAAAAATAAAAACATTTTGACTCAATGTGTATCACGTTAAAAATGCACACTTTAATTACCGTATTTTGCCATGTATAATGCGCACTTCTTTTGCCCAAATTTTTGAGGGAAAAATAAGGATGCATATTATACATGGATAGTACCTGAAATGCCTTGTGTCTGTTCTTGTGCTTTGTAATTATTTGTTACATAAAATTTCTTGTACCATAATATATTAAAAAATAAATGCTAAAATTCCTTTAAAATACAAAAAAACAAGTATCTAAATATAAATAAAAAATTGAATTAAAAAATTAAAACATGAGATTTTTTTCCTGAAAGTTTGGGCCAAAAACATGGGTGCACATTATACATGGCAAAATACAGCAACTGCTCTTTGTGAACAAGAGTAGCGTAGCCATGTGGGGAAAAACACTGCACCACATCTGGGCTCTGGAGTTGGCTCTTCTGTGATTCTCAGTTAAGCCACTTAGCACCTCTAGTCTCTTTTTGTTTTTCTGCCAAATGCCAGAATCATGCCTGCGTTTCTGTCTCATAATGACCTCAGATGTTCATTTATGAAAGCGCAAATGAGACAGTGGCTGCCAAAGTATGTAGAAGAAAGCCTCTGAGTAAGACTGGTGATGAAAACAACCAGATGCACAAATGACTAAGACATATGGCACACGGGTCATAGAACAGGAATCCTCTAATTGGCTGGCAATGCTTTCAAAAGCCAAATCCTACTGCGGTTAACCCCAAACACTGCTGGAGAAACTTCAGGAAGAGCAAAGTGAAAGTCAGAAAACATAAGGGGAAGAGTGGCAGAAGGAAATGGTGGCAGCAGCTCTGATCAGAAACAGTAGTGAGGCTGAAGAAAAGCAGCAAGGACACAGAATGGTACCACTTGAACATGCCCCAGCTACTCATGGTTCTATGTCTTGCGCACACCTCGTCCAATTCCACAGAATACCCTCCTCCACCATCCTACTGAATAATGCCCATTCATCGCTGGAATTTCATAGCAAAATGTTTTTTTTTTTTTTTTTTTTAAATCCTTACCTGAGGATATGCTCATTAATTTTAGAGGAAAAGGGAGGGGGAGAGAAAGAGAAAGAGAAAGAGAGAAACATAGATGTGAGAGAGAAACATTAATTGGTTGCCTCCTATCCATGCCCTGACTGGGGATTGAACCTGCAACCCAGGTATGAGCCCTGACTGCAACCATTTGGTGTACTGGACAACACTCTACAGAGCCACCCGGCCAGGGCACAAAATGGTTTTGAGTTTGTCTAAATGCTGGCCTTGAGCAAGTTACTTAACTCCTCTGCTTCTGTTCCTCACCTGTCAAAGACTGATAATAACAGGACCTACCTCATAGGGGTGATGGAAGGACTTCATAAGACAATCCATAAACCTATTATTAGCATGGTACCTAGCACAAGGAACATACTCAAGAAATGACAGCACGTAAAACTATGTTATTATTCTCATTATGTGTCAGCTCCCCTCAGGCTCTGGAGCTGGACTTCCTGGTTTAAGCTCATATAATCTTGGACAAGATAATCACAGATTCCCATGCATGGGATGGAAATGACTACACCTACCTGAAATGTTAAGAAGAGGAACTGAGATGATAACAGGTATACAGACTGGTACTGGCACTGTTGGAGCAATCACTACTCATTGGCTATAACAATGATGATGGTGATGTTGGCTACGAGCAGAAACTAAGATGTGGCATGGAAGGATCCTCCCCTAGGGCCTTCTGAGGGAGCTTAGTCCTAATGTACCTTGATTTTGGATTTCTGGCCTCCAGAACTATGAGAATAAATTCCTGTTCCTCTAAGCCATCCAAATTTGTGGTACTTTGCTCACAGAGGCCCTTAAACACTAATAAAAGGATCAATAAAATTCTTGGAATATTACAATGTGGAGCTTACAAAGGAATAACTTTCAAGTAGGTGACAATCTCTTCCATCCAGAACCGTACATATTCATGTTGGTTTAATGTCATGTCATCTTTACTGCCAGCTTGATCCAGATGCAGCTCTGAGGGGTGGGCTTCTGATCTGTTTTTGAGTCCCTGTGTTGGCTGCAGCAACCTGCCTATATTGCAACCCTCCTAGGGTGGGGGTTCGGCCAGGTTATTAGCAGGCCCCGCTCCAAGACTGGAACCCTACTCCTATGCCCAGCCTGCAGTTTTAGCTGAAGCAGCCACTGAGATCACCCTGGTGCCGCTCTCTCCTGGACACTCCTTTGGCCATGGGGTTACTGGGCATGTAAACAAAAAGGAGCTGTCAGATTTTGCCAGTACACACAGGAGCAAGATGAGAAAGCATTGTAGGCTTGAGTGGCTTTAAAAGCCTACCTGGAAGAGCCCAGGTCGGGTAACTGAGTTGGTTGGAATGTTGTCCATGCACCAAAAAGGTTGCGGGTTTGATTCCAGGCAGGGCACATACCTAGCTTGTGGGTTCTATCCCAGGTTGGGGCATCTATGGGAGGCAACTAATCTATGTTTTTCTCTCACACTTATGTTCCTCTCTGTCTAAAAAAATCAGTAATAAATGTCCTCAGGTGAGAATTAAAAAACATTTTTTTTTAAATAAAGTAAAATAAAATAAAATAAAATAAAATAAAATAAAATAAAATGCTTTCTGGGAGAGTTACAACTCAAGCTGCACCTCAGGGATGATAAGGATTTAGATAGGTGATCGTTAGTCAACAAGATCGTACCCAGAAACCACTAAATGTTGGGGCTGCTGAGAGGAACCAGGCATGATCCTGCTCTCCAAGAACTGACATTTTAACTCTAGGGGTATAACGTAAAGTACAGTGAGGGGCACCTCCTTGGGAGCTGGAGAAATGACTCCCAACTCAGCAGAGGGAAGGGTAGCAGAGAGGAGAGAAACTCTCAGAGCAACAGTAGGCGGTATGTGGAATGTGCAGAAATAGCTAGGCAGTATGTGTGTTTGTGGGGTGAGGGAGAAAGGCTCCAGGAAACAGGAATAGCGTAAACAGGAGCCTGGAGGAAGGAGTCACCCTACATGAGTGGATGAGGAAGAGCCTCTGTGAAAGCTTCTCGCTCTAACCCTGCCAGTGCAGAGTGAGGAAAGAGGTCAGGGCCACGTACGCCCCCCAGCACAGGAGGCCTGTTCTAAATCTAAGCCTAAGCATCTTAGCACTTAACGTTATACATGACAGGGTACTTGTTCATATTTTGGAAGGAATTCAACTTGCAAAGGATTTGGTTTAGGATTATTTAGAAAAATAAAGTTAGTACATTTCAAATATGGTTTGATTCACATTAAATTTAGACAATTTTCAAGGACACACCCACTAAAAAAAAAAAGGGCAGGGGCTACCATATCAGAAATCAGAAAAGGATATATAGAAATAGAATTGATTTGTCTTGGCTGGGTGTTCAGTTGGTTAGTGTCATCCCAATAAGCCAAAGTTGCAAGTTCAATCCCTGATAAGGGTACATACAAGAATCAACCAATAAATGCATGAAAAAGTGGAACAACAAACCTGTATCTGTCTGTTTCTCTCTCTCCCCTCCCTTCCTCTCTCTCTAAAATCAATAAATACCAAAAAAAAAAAAAAAAAAAAAAATAGACCTGATTTAAACCATAATTTTGACCAAGGCCAAAGTTCACCAAGACTTACTTTTTTGACGTGATTATAGGCATATTAGTCTTCATATCTGTAACAACAAAGAAGTTTTATTAATTCAGACAAAATTTCCTTAAAGAGAAAAAACACTGAAAACCTAGGAAAGACTAAGAGAATTTCAAAATTCACAAAATCATATACTGAGAAGGTTGACTGTCCGAACAGCAATAGCAAACACATGCTTTATATGCCATCACTCCCTGCACCCAAACCTCTGGCAGGTGCAGCTGACCAATCACAGTGCTCTTGCTGGGCTCAGGTGTGACCTTGGAATCCTTTTCAACTCAACACTCCAGCTAACCAGCTATGGCCCGCAAGAAGATTGCTTTCTGCCATCTCTGAATGCTCATGCTCTTGACTTTCAGATCAGAGTACTGAGGCCCTAAAGCTACCACCTTTACCCCCATTGTCCTGTGCTCCATAAAGCATCTTCAGTGAAAGCTGTGCCTATAAGAGAGGGTTGTTAAAGTAAGTTTCATGGTGATGCTTGGTATGGATTTGGGAGTTCTGGGCTTTACTTCTAGATCTGGGCATCTGGCTGGAAGAGTCTTTCCACCTAAAATGTTTATGGGGTCACCTAATGGTATAGGTTTTAGACGACATGGATGGACCTAATGGGTATTATGCTAAGTGAAGTCAGTCAGACATAGAAAGACAAAGACCATATGATTTAACTCATACATAGAATCTAAAAAAAACAAAATAAATGAACAAACAAAACAAAAGCACAGAAAGAATCAACTGATGGTTGCCAGGTGGGAGAGGTGTTGAGCAGCTGGATGAAAAAGGTGAAGGATTAAGAAGTACAAATTGGAAATTACCGAACAGTCATGGGGATGTAAAGTATAGCATAGGGAATAGAGTCATTAATATTGTGATACTATGTATAGTGTCAGAGGGGTACTAGATTTATCAGGAGGATCACTTCATAAGTTACATAAATGTCCAACCACTATGCTGTACACCCGAAACTAATATTCAATGTCAATTGTAATTGAAAAATAAATAAGTACATAATACATATAAAAAAGACTGTGGGCAAGCCATTCCTCCTCTCCCAAATTCAGCCTTCTCTCCAGTGGATTAAAGCCTTAAAAAAGATGATATTCAGCTTCAGAATCCCATTAAAAAGATTTCACAGACTTATACTTTGTTAGGAATTTGTCAGTTTTCTCAAAGTCATGACCTCTCTCCTCTGGTAATTAAAAAATGAAAATTCAGCAAGTTTTACTGACAGTCTTTTATGTGCCAAGCACTAGAGATATAGAAGTAATAAAGTAAGTACCCTTTCTTGAGATACTCACAGTCTAGTTAAGGAGATAGAGCAGAAATGAAGGATTCTAACCTGAGCTGATACGTGACCAAGTAAAGTATTAGAAAGGGATTGGTTAACTTTATCTGGAGAGTTAGGAAAAACCACAAAGAAGGAGGAATATTTGAGCTGGTCTCTGAAGAACAGGAGTTTACCAGGTGGGCTGGGGAGAAATAGGCAGAGGAAGGCACTGCACAAAGCCTGAGTTGCAGGTTCATGGAATGGCAAGCAGCCCCAGGTGGCTACAGGGCCAGCAAGTGAGTGGCTGGAGGGAAGGGTGGAAGATGAGGCTGAAGCTAGTTTCTGAAGAACTTCTTAAAGGGGACATCTGAGATTTGCTTCGTTAGGGCAGCCCACAACCTTAATTTGTTTCCTTGTCATAAATTCATTTCCTTCCATTTTTATCACCATTTAAAACTTAGCTACTACATAGATCAGGAAAAGATTTGTAATTATTGAGATTATTACACTATTTGAAAACTTTCGATATTTTTTTTTGTCAATTAATAACTGCCAAGGCTGGGTGATGGGGAGAGGCACGGCCATTATGTTAGTTGCTCTACTTCCCCACCCCACTTTCTAAAAAGGTTACTATGAAAACTTTTTAAAACAGGAAAAAGTAAAGAGAATAGTATAATAAATTCCTATGTTGCTATCACTCAGCTTTAACAATTAACTCATGGCCAATCTTGCTTCATCTGTTCTCTGCCTATTCCCTTGACCCCCAGATTATTTTGAAAGAGATCACTCATATCTTATCATTTCATCTTGAAATAGTTCAGTATTTCTATAAGGCCTTTTTATAAACATAACGATAATACAATTATTATACTTTTAAAAGTTAATGTTAATTCCTTGCATCATCCAAAATCTATGCATTGTCTCCTAACTTTTTTCTTCTTTGGCAAGTTTGACTCAAAATCTAAATAAGGCCCTACATTGCAATCGTTCACTCTAATATATGTTTCCCTGCTATGATTTTCTTTGAAATTCATTTGTTGCAGAAATGTGTCCTCTGTCCTATAGGACTCCCCTGAGTCTAGCCTCAGATGATTATACACTCCTTGTGCTGTTAACACAGTGCTACTCGAAGACAGTCAGAGGCCCAATCGTTCAGGAAGAGATGAAATAAACTGTCTTTACTTTAGCACACTGCTTAGTTCATCTTTGCTTGTTTTCACAGCCAGATTTTCATGGAGAAGGAAGCTGCAAGTGATTAGTTATATAGCAGTAGCTAAATGGAATGGAATCTATTTCCATTCTGGTGCAAAGGTCTATATTGCTGCATTTCAGTACTTTGAGCAGCAAGGGCTTAACACGTTCCTCTTCCCTGCATCTCCTGGCAACTTGTGATCAGATCCAGGTGTAATTTGGGGGGAAACCTACATCATAGATAATGCCATGTGTTTTCATTAGAAGACACAAAATGACTTAACTGGGTTTTACGTCATCAGCATCATTGCTGATCAGTGCCTAGCTCTAACAGTTTATTAGAGGTTGCAAAATGGTGATACTCTAATCCTATTATTTCTTTATAAGTGGGATTCTTCAATAAAGAGAAACCCCTCACTATTTTGTTACCCCAAAACTAGTTCACATATTCCAGTTTTGAAAATGATGAATCCTCCACAGGTTAACAATGAATTTCTTCTGGCATGAACTAAAGGATTCAAGCAGTTTGGGGGTGTTATTATGAATGAATTTTAAAATAAATTATATTATTCTTCTTACTGATGCTCAAATGTTTCCATGGCCTCTTTTGAAAAAGTCTAGTAGTTTTTGATAGCTTCCTTACTTCCTGGTACAAGGTGTTTCATGTAAAAAAAAATCCTAGCTGCTGTCAACCACACCATCATAATTACTCATTTGCTTAATCATATAATATACATATAATAATCTCAGCACAACAGTAACAACACTACCACCCATAAAAAATCTGCTGAAAACAATATAAAGATTACCTGGTAACTTTTTCTTTCTTTATAGAGTATATGGTTGGTTGAGTGGCCCAATTCTTCAGGTCTTCCACCTGCCAAACCCTTTGACTCTGGGCCAGTGAAATATTACCAAACATGATGCAAGCAGAGGCCTGAAAAGCACTGGCTCACGGGTTTGCTCTTGACTCTCAACCATAACCATGAGAACACACCTGGGGCTAGCCTGCTGGGGATGATACACCTGGTGCCCTTGTCCTTCGTCCCAGCTGAGGCCATCTTCGACCAGCTGACAGCCAACCAACAGACAAACATACACCAGTAAGTCTGACGAAATCCATTATTGGACTAGACCCATTAGACAGCTTGACCCATGACTAGCCAGATGGATAAGTACATTCAGTGAAGATCAGCAGACCTACCCAGCAAACCTGTAGCCTTGTAAGCAATTTGGTTGCTATTGAAAGCCACTAAAATTTGGGGTGGTTTGTTAAATAATACTGTGGCAAGAGATAACTTATGCAAAGTCTTTCCTATTAGAATCGAACAGTCAAATTATCAAGTTTTGAAGTCATTCAAAATAGTTTCCCCCTTATGGTTCTACCTTTTAAAAGTTAATTTTGTTTTGTAACCACACAATACATTTACAAAGTCCAAAGTCAAATGTATAAAGTCTCACTTCTCTTTCCATCCTGTTCCGTCCTTCTCCCATTGACATTAAAAAATTATGATTTATCCTTCCTTATATTTCAAAAATATATTTATATTCCCCCATTTAGATAAGCCATAGCACACTATGCAGACTTTCCCTCACCTTGCTTTCTTCATTTAAAAATATTTCCTGGTATCCCTCATGGCCAGCTGCACAGTGCTGCATTATATGAATGCACTATAGTCTATTCCACTGGTCCTCTCCTTATAGTTATTTGGTTGTTTCCAGTCTTTTAATATTAGAAATAATGTTGTAATGAATAGCTTTATGCTATTTCTTTTCATATTTTTGCCATTGTATCTTTAAGATAAATTTCTAGAAGTGGAATTACTGGGACAAAAGTAAATGCACTGGATATCCACAGGCAAAACAATGAAGCTGGACCCTTACTTTATATCATATACAAATATTAACTCAAAGTGGATTAAAGACCTAACTGTATGAGCTAAAACTATAAAACTCTTAGCAGGAAAAAAAGAGGGGAAAATATGCCTGAACTTGGATTTGGCAATGGTTCTCTAAATATGGTACCAAAATAAAAAAAACAGGTAAGTTGGACTTCATTAAAATAAAAATCTTTCGCAGTTTCACATTCATTGAATGGCTATCACAAAAACAAAAATAGAAAATAACAGGTGTTGGTGAGGATGCGGAGAAGCTGGGAGCCTTGTGCACTGCTGATGGGGATGTAAGATGGTACAGGTATTGTGAAAAACAGTCTGGTAGTTCCTAAAAAAATTAAAATAGAATTATATGCTCCAGCAAGTCTATTCCTACTCATACCCAAGAGAAATGACCACATATGTTCACACAAAAACCTGTACAAGAATATTCACAGTAGCTTTATTCCTAACAGCCCTAAAGTGGAACTGACCCAAATGTCCATCTTTAGATGAATGAAAAAACAAAACATGAATATCCATACAAAGGAGTATTATTTGGGATGAAGTTCTGACATGCACAAATCTTGAAGAAACAAAAGTGAAACACACAAAAGTCTTTATAATGTATGTTTCCACTTATATGAAATATTTAGAATGGGCAAATTCAGACACAGAAAGCATATTAAGGTTATCAGGATTTAGGAGGAGAGGAGAATGGGGAAGGGTGGGGGGGAGTAAATATACATATAATTTTGCTAGACATTGCTAAATTCCTCTCTGTTATGGTTGTACCATCTGCACTCCCTCTAGGAATGCATGAGAGTGTCTTTCAGTGCCTCACCAGTGGCCAAACTTTTGAATTTTTGCCAATCTGATTGTTCAAATGGTATCTTAGTACAGTTTTAATTTATATATTTTTTAACAATAAAATGTTTTTTAAAATCCTTTCTTATTATGTTTTAACCTGCTGATACTGGTTATGTAATTACCATGAGACTTCCCTAGAGAAATACACTAGGCTAAAAAATTTATAAATTAAAGAGAGCCAGCAAATGAGAACTGCATATATTACTATGCTTTAACAAATACATCAATGTCAGTTATTGTTGTAAATTCTAATTCCAGAAATAAAACTCATTTTGCATATAGGCAAGTAGGTGCCTAATTATGAGTATCTTCCATATGCACAGTACTCTTCTAGGCAATGCTTAACAACAAAAAAGCCTCAATAACAATTCTGATAATTCTAGAAATTAGATAAAACATTTTTCACCATTCATAAGAACGCTTTACCTTTATTAGAATTATCCTAGTTACTATTTTTAGCAGTAAAATTGTCAGCGTGCATCTTCTCCACTAGAATTTCACTATATAATCTGAGGTGGAAGATCAAAAATGAAAGAAAATAATAATTTGCCAAAAGACCTCAATGACATACAAGTTTACCTTTGTATTTAGCAACCAGCTTAGGATCTGAAATTGTGAAGTTTGGACGGCTTCTAGACAGGATTCCTTTTCCAAAATAACCCTTCCATGAAGAGAGAAAACAAAATTAGTTCACCTTTAGTTATCAATTTTTTAGCTGAAGGAGAATCACTATTTTGAGTTAACAAGCGATTACATATTCCCTCTAATTATCTAATGATTCCTAATGACACCTTTAGTACGCCCCTTTGTCTCATAACTCATGATCTCAGTCGAGGTCTGAGAGCTGAAGACAACAGGGCAGGCATTCTTCTTCACATGTGGGTCAGGAACAGCGTGTCTCAAAGCAGGAGTCAAGTCTCCCAGGTACAAAAAGTTTCTTGGATTCTCCTGCATGCAGGATTGAAGTATTCCTTTCCTCCCTGATGATTCTAGCAACGATTTAGATTTCTTTCCCTTCCATTTCTGAATTTAAGCCCACAGAAAACTGAGAGAATAAATACCTTTTACCCTCACTTAGATTTAACAATCAGAATAAAAAATGTGCACAGCATTTTATAGTAAAAAAAAAAGAAAAAGATTTTATTTATTTATTTTTAGAGAAAGGGTAGGGGAGGGAGAGAGGGTGAGAAACATTCATTGGCTATCTCTTGTACTTACCCCAACCGGGGATGAACCTGTAACCCAGGCATGTGCCCTGACCAGCAATTGAACTGGCGACCTTTTGCTTTGAGGGATGATGCCCAACCAACTGAACCACAGTGGTCAGGTTGTACAGCACTTTATAAAGCCTCTTGTTTGTTATGAATTGCAAATGCGGACTGCCTTTGGCCTAGACCCCCATCTCGCCAGGGTCAATGCCACCCACTGTACTCCACTTTGGGAAGGTGGTTACAATCTATATATTTTATAGAAATGTCTAGAGAGGACACATTTACAGAGACAGGGAGCAGACTGGTGGGTGCCTCAGGCTAGGAGTAGGAGCCGGGGTTAAGTGCAATGGGCATGAGGGAACTTTCTGTGCTGATGGGAGGGCCCTAAAACGGGATTGTTGCAGTGGTTGCACAACTCTATGAATTTACTACAATCATTCAATTGTACACATACAATGGGTGAATTTTATGGCTGTAAATTATACCTCAATAAAGCTGTTTAAAAAGTGTCCCAGTGATGAATTGGTTATGGGATAGGGGTAGGAGGTGGGAAAACAAGCTACCAATCTCAACTCAAACCTATTATCAATGTAAAATAGCAAAAACTAGAACTTGTCCTCATCTAAGAAGAGGTCCCCAACTAGGAAGAGAGCAGATAAGAAACTAGAGTACCTACTCAAGCTGTATCTGATTTGTCCATGAGTCAGAACAATATGCCACTCTGTGGCTACCTCTGCAGATGAAACGGGAGTTAAGTGGGGAGTTTTTACTTTTTAACCCTTAATTTCTGTAAGTTGCTTGATTTTTTTTTTACAACAAACATGCATTACTTTTATAACTGAAAGACAAGAAAGTTCAATGTTATTGACCCTATTTCATTGGTGAAATGTGGGTCCAGAATGAGGGAGTTATCCTCATGATACGTGGTTTCAAGGCACCTGAGTCAAACTGCAGTGTTCCTACAAGAGACCAAACAGCAAGGAAAGAATATGTTTCATTTATAGTTTATTTTGGGAGTGGATGGGGAGAAGAGAAAAAGAGAGCTGGCTCCAGGCTGTCAGGAAGTAACTTACTTTCCCATACAGCTGCTCAATGTCTTCTGCGTTCTTCACAATTACATTGTTGTTTATTATTTCGGCGCGGAACATTTTGAAGTCTTTCTTAGGTCCACAGTTCTGACCAAAAGGGATCGGAAATGGAGACTCATAGTTCTCATACACTCTTCTTTTCCTCTTTGGGGCATGGAAAACTGCTACTGCCATTTTTCAAGTGTAACTATTCCTTAAAGAGCGTAATGAAGAGAAAGAAACAGATAGTCAATCAATGACTACACTGATCAAAAATGTGAGTACGTTTATACGTAGGCTCAGAAAACTTTCTGGTTTGTGGGAAAAATAAGATATTTATAAAGCGGTGAACTAAAAGACATAGTCATGAGAATATTTTGTAAAAGAAATCCAACTCTTGTTCACCTAGAATATCTCAATCAATTCCCATAAGAGTGCCCAAGAAGTCAGTGGCATTATTTCTCACTACAGCTGACAATACTGAGTCCTAGTGACATGCCCAGAAAGTCACATTGCTATGCAAAAGTCTCCTGATAGCAAGCACAATAGGATTTCTGCCTATTAGGATTACTCTCATTCTTTCACTCAGCCAACAGTACCTACCAGGGGCTCCTAATATAAGAGGTGCAGGGGATATAAAGATAAAACCAAGAGACCTTGTTCTCAAAGAATTAAATTTAGGGAGCAATTCATCCCCACCCCCCCAAAAGCACCTTAAAATACATACCAAACATTATGTCAATCATCTTCCAACTTTTAAGGTAAGTTGATAACAGTGACAGCAGCAGTTCCGGGCTAAGGGTCTATTATGCACTCCAAATGCAAGGGGCTAAGCGTAGGAAATCTAAAGCCAGAGTGCCAGGATAGGAATTGGCTTCACTATCTCCAGGCTGTGTGACTGTGGGCAAAGGTTACTTAATCTTCCTGTGCTTTGGTTTCCTTATTTGCAAAATAAGGATAAAAATAAACTCTACCTTAAAGTTAAGACCCATAAAGTGCTTAGAAGAGTGCCTGGTTCATACTGAGCACTATGCATGTATTCACTGTAATTATGGTTATGGGGTGAGCACTACTAACATCCTAACACAGATGAGGAAACAGATTCAGGTTTGAGAGATTAAGCAGAAGATTCCTGAGAGGGGGGCACTAGACCATCCCAGGCCTGTTGAAAACCAAAGCTCTTCCTAGGTTCTGCTGCAAGCAAGGTAGCACCCATTCCCTTTTGTCCGAAGGCTCACTCTTTCTTGAGGCTAGAAGCTAAAGGATTATGGAGAATTGAGGAGTTGCTTACTGTACACCCAGCTCTAGGAGGGAGTAAAGGAAACTGAAGTCAGTACCTCTCCCTTCCAGGCCCTATTCTCAGCCTGAGGAGACAAAACAAGCACCTAATGCACAACAGGCTGCAATTCAATAATGGCTAAAGGAAGGAAGTAGAGTTGAGTGTATTGTGCGATAAAGACAGACAGCCACAGTAGATGCATTTAACTTGGGAAAACTCAACCTTACGCAAGAGGAAAAAAATGTAAACAGTGCAAGAAATTGGGCCAGCCACTCTAAGTGACAAGCAGACGCCCTAGAGAAGGGAGGCTTGAATCTGCTGCTCCCTTAGTCCTGGGTCTGGATTCGATTTAAGCTGTGAATGTATCTGGTGCTTGAAGAAACAGTGGAGCTGTATCACACACAATTAAACTGTGGCTCCAAAGCCTCACAAAGGAAGAAGTAGGACTGATTATTTAGGTGACTGTTGGGAAACGCCCTGTCTGGTTTCATGAACTGTAACACCGTGGACAGGCAGGCGGACCCCAAGGCTGGAAATAATCAGGGAGGCCTTGGGAGAAGCAGGCCCCTGAGAAGGCAGTAACCTGTGCCCCCTGGCAGGGCTCCTGCCTCTCTGCTTGGCCCTGTGATGGTCGCTTGTTGATGATGGGTAAGATCCCTCGATGGAGGGGCGACCTATGACAGATACCGACTGGTATGGGAAGCAGACAAGAAATTGAGGAACACGGAGAAAGGGCAAAAACCCTCGGCTCTGCTCGGACATGGTTGGAGTCCTCATTCTATCCCAAAAGAAGTCTCCTTGTCTCTTGACGACGTCCCCCCTGCCCTCCCCCAGCCTGGCTCAGGCTCAAAATACCAGAGACAGTCCTAAACCAGATCTGGTGGTTTCCAGGGAAATCAGGCCTAAAAGTAAATTCTTTAAAGTATGCTTTGTTTTTTCCTCATAAGCTATAGCCAGCTAGTGCTGGGAAGGAAATTTACATTATTCACAGACCCTAACTCTTTACCCTTAGGCACTCTTATGTTTACCACGCTCTCCTGTTTAGTCATCTTTCTTGTTTACTAGTCTCCTCTCAGACTCATGTAAATTGGTGTGTTCCTACCGTTTGTTTTCTTCAAAACATCATCTATTCTCTGTAAACATTAACATACTGATGTAATGAGATAACCTGTGCATTCGTATTACCTGGCCCCACTGATAACCCTTTCAATGAAAGTCTTTGAAAAAAGGGACTCTGGGCCTTCCCCATTACGGGAATGTGCCATGTCTTCTCTCCTGGCAAACAGAGGTGTTTGTGATGACTGGTGTTTACTCCCCCTATCCGTGACACCCTCAGGACGGCTCTGCGGGATTCGGAGTCCCAGGTACCATCTCAGCTGGCCTCCGACCGTGACCCTCAGATCCCGGAGGCTGTGCTCCCGGCAATGCACTCCATTCCCCTCCGCGACAGGTGACTCCTGCATTCAATACCAGCATCCCACTGGGCAATGGACATAATCAAGCCTGTCACAGCCAATGAAGGTGACCAAAGCTGAAGAAGGAAGGGGGGTGGTTTTAAGGGTTCATGACCATTAAAAAAAAAAAATTAAAAGCCAGGAATAAGCCAGGCTTAATAAGCATAATTGGAATAAGCCAGGACTTGCCTCCAACTTCAACATGTAGCCAAAGTTGCCAACCACTGGTTATAGGATGGCCTATTCAAACACACTTAATCCCAACAGCCCCCTGAAGTAAATTCTACTACTACTCACTTTGTACAGATGAGGAAAGGGACTCAGAGGGGCTGAATGCTATGTACTTGTAAAGGGTTGTTAATATCCCCTTCCCAAACCTGGGCATACCTGATTCCAGATGCCCACAGTGTTAAGTGTATTTACTTTCTATTTAAAGCAGGGCTTGTTCTTTATTGTTCCCTTGAGCAGATAAGCTAACACCTTTTAGGTGCTCAAAATGTTTATTCCAAACAAAAGAGCAAAACCAAAAGGGGGGGGGGTAGGGAAGTAGCCACATTTAATTTTCCAGTTCCCTGGGTCCACCTTGCCTTAACAAGCCTGGTTAAAACCTGCCACACAGCAAAGTTCACCTTCTCCCTAAAGAAAAAGCGTTTGAAACTCCAGCTGCTTACCTCCTGAGCTAGTGGAGACAGGGATAAAAGGGACAAGACAATCCTGCACCCCCTGGGGAGCTGTTAAGTTAGAACCTAAAACTAAGACATATAAACAAACAATAAACCTTTGAAGGCTGTTGTGAGGGTTAAATTGGTAGCTGTGCAAAGGTGCACAGCTATCAGCCTACCACGGGGAAGTGCTAGAGCCAGATGGTAGTTGCAACTACAATAAATTATGACACAACCCAAAAAGTGTTTTGGACCCAACAAATTCGTAACTCTCTATTAACTCATCCCTTTGCTGATCTCCTTGAGTGCCTGCCATCCCCCAGCAACCCAACTAGTGGCTGAGGCTCCTTTCGGACAGAGATTGCATGCACTCCGTCATCCACAGCCCGGGGACGTGGCGTCAATGCTTCTAGAAAGGCAGCAGGAAGAGGAGCGGGAAGGGCCACAGGTGCACGGAGGAGAGGAGATAATTCTGGCAGAAACAGGAAGCGTAGCTCCTCCCCCCGGCCCAGTCCAGTCCGAGAGTGGAACCCGGGGAAAGTCTCGGGGTCCTTTTCACTCTTCCCCTGGAGGACTTTCGGAGGAGTCTGTGTCTCCTCGCCCTTGCCCAATGGGCTCGAGCCACTGCACTCTGTGTCCCAGCACGCGGCTAACCCGTACGCCTGGTGCCTTACCTTCATCAACATCACGCGCTCGCCGTTACCCCGACAACGCCGGCCAGGGCGGGGGAGGGGTGGGGGGCGGACACCTCTGCCGTCAAGTACTGCCGCCGTAAAGCCGGACGAACGCGCTGCCGCAGAGCCCATGGGCACGCCCGCCGGGTGTTCGCGAAACGCGCTTGCGCACAGCTTGAAAAGGGGCGGGGGTTCTTCTGAGCGTGCAGCTCACCCCTCGTGAAGTGTGAGGCAGAGGCAGCACGTCCCCCTTCCTGTCCTCCCCGTGCTAGGTGGACAGTCTGCTGCACAGCTGCTATTCTTGTTTAATTCTCACGTCAATACCGCATGACCTATTTTACAGATGAGATCTGAAGTTACTTGTTCAATGTCACATGGCAAGGAGGTAGTGGAACCGAGACTTGAATCCAGGTCTAAAGACTTAGCCCCTGGGAAGATGGGATGCTTGAGGCTACCAGACTTTGTCACCTGACCTCGGCTCTGACAAGGAACTCAGCTTTCCCAATGCATATGTATAAGCTGCAGCACTGGGGCTGTAAGGAACCGCTCTCTCGCAGACAGCTGATTGAAAGCCTTGATGCACGGGCTGTCCTGTGCAGTGTAAATGGACAACAGATCACGAGTCAGACCTACATTTGAAGCTGCACCTCCACCCTCATCTGAACCTTTTTGACTAAACCTTTTTGAGCCTCAGTTCTCTCATCTGAAAAATGGGCCGTCAGGATTACATGAGATGAGCGAAACAAAACTGCATTGGGAAGTGTAAAGGTTTCTCCTGACCTGGTTTAAAAGGAGACCTGGTAGTGAGTCCAATATATACCTTCCCAAATATGAATCCCAGGGTCCCCAGCGCACGCACTACACATGCTGGGCAGTTGGGGAAGGTGGGTGACAGGGTGGGGTTAAGTGTGACTGTTTTTGTTTTTTGTTTTTTTAAAGATTTTTATGTATTTTGAGAGAGGGGGAGGGAGGGAGACAGAGAGGAGAGAAGCAATGATATGTGAGAGAAACATCGATCTGTTGCCCCTCACACACGCCCCAGATGGGGCCTGGCAGCAAATCAGACATGTGCCCTGATCAGGAAATCAAAATGGGACCTTTCGCTTTAAGGGATGATACTCATCCAACTGAGTTGCGCCTTCAGCGCTAAGTGTGACTGTCTGAGATATGGACCTTTCCCAACTTTCTCATCTCCAGGCTGTGGAACACCCTGTTGCTTCTGCCTGGAACATCCTTCCCAACTCTGTTTGCCGCAGTAATTCCTGGTCACCCTTTAGGTCTCAGTTCAGCTATCTCTTCCTCCAGGAGACTTCCTCTTGCCTCCCCAGGCTGGCTTGGTGACTTTCCTCTGTGTTTCCTGTTTCCTGGTCCTTCTTAACTGAACTGTGAGCTCTTGATAGAAAGAGCTCAAGGCACCATGGACCTTAACTGCTCAGCTAAGGAGTTCAGACTTTAGAGACCAAAATCAGGATAGCTTCCTGTTGGAGTGTGGCAAAAAAGAACTTGAGCAAGATTCGGAGAAGAGTGGTATCAAGGTGGATTGGGCAGGGAAGAAACAGCTGTGAGAAGGCTGTAATATTGCACCAGAATATGCCAATTTAGGAAATACTGGTTTTAGAATGAGAGGGTTTTAACAATGAAAGGCAACTCATAGGTTGATAGGTTGTCCACTTCAACTTCCTTATTTAACTGATAAGAAAAAAGGTTCAGAGGCGCTGTGAGTTGCCAGAGGTAGCCAAGCAAGTCAAGTCAGAGGGTTCCTGAGACTAGAGACAGTCACCTGAAGCTCAGCACAGTGCTCCATACTCAGAGGCTTGGGATTCCAGATTCCTCCATACTGAGAATCTTGGTAGTGTCATTTGGAACCCTGTTCCCACAGAAGGTCCAGAGTAGGTTACTGATTAAGATTCTTCCTCCAAGATTTTCTCTCAATGTGTATTTTAAACCTTTTGTTGTGGGCCTTTTCAAACATGCATATAGTAGAGAGAATTATCTAATAAATCATCACTTATACAATCTTCAGCCTTTGGTATATTGTTTCTTTTACAGTCTCTCTATATATACCTTTATCCCACTGCCAGAGTATTTTTAAGTGATCCCAGACATCATATAATTTCATTCAGAATATTTCAGTATATATCTTTAATCTTTAAATTTTATTACACACATATATATGTATATACTGTATTTTGCCATGTTTAATGTGCTCCCATGTATAATGTACGCCCATGTTTTTGGCCCAAACTTTCAGGAAAAAAAAGTCTTTGGTTTTAACTTTTTAATTCAATTTATTTATCTATTTATATTTAGAAACAAAACCAGTTACTGTATTCCAGGGTATTATTTTGCATATGGATATTGTTATTGCTTTCTAGAGTTACAGTTTTAATGCATAAGCATAAATAAAAGAATAAAAAACATTTATACAGATAGGAAATTAGTACTACCCATGTATAATCCACATTCTTATTTTTCCCTCAAAATTTTGGGCAAAAAAGGTGCACATTATACACAGCAAAATATGGTACATATAAAATGAGAATGTGTATATATACATATATCTATAATTCTTATTATTCCAAAAGTTCTTTAGAGTCACCGAAACACTGAATTAGTGAACACTGAGCCATTGCTCCTACAGGAAATATAGGGTTAGGTTCCTGCCAGTATCTGGCCACAATATTTTCACCAACCAATCCATACATTAACTTATTTTATGTGTTTCTGTTTAAAAATACTTTGTTTAATATCTATTGTTGATTCATTAACATTGAACTCATGACCAATAGCACTATAATGCATGCCTAAAGGAAGCTCATCTAACACATGTATTTTCTCTGTAAGACAGATCACAGCCTTCTTGACTTAGGAACACTAGACAGCACTTCAGCACTCTGCTTGAGGTCCATTTTAAACAACAAAATCACCAAAAGTCACCAGAAAGCACAAAAATGTGAAAAGTGTGGCACTAAACAGACCGATAAAAAGCACATCTGTTTATGGTGTGAGAGCTGAAACAAGAATACAGAATATTGCCTGTTTATTTCAGCTGAGAATGTGCATATTGGGACACACATTTTTCTCTGCTCTATGCCTGTGCATGCCTGTGAAATGACAATGCACTGTGAGTATTGATTTTGGTTTTGCAAAGAAAATTTAACCAATAGTTGAATTTGCAAATGCAGAATCCACCAATAATGAGGATCAACTGTATATATGTATCCCCATATCATTAATACATCTAACAAAATGAACAATAATATCATTTATATGTGAAATGTGGCACAGAATCTCCACGACCACCGTAAAGACAATTTATTGGGTGTTAATGTGTGCGCGGCCACGTTGCATCCTATCTTATTCTTACCACAGCACTGTGAGACAGGTGTTCTCACCTCTAATTCTCAGTTGAGTTTCCCTCCCTCACCCAAGTTCTCAGAGCTAAGAAGCAGTGGAGGCCAGATAAGGACCCAGAGCCAGGGACTATGAGGCTTGCATTTATTTTAATCCATCATGCAGGATATGGGAGGGCAATACATTGACAAAACAGCTTTAAATACGGAAATACAAAAATGAGGCAAGTGTTGGTGGGAGGTCAGGGGAGACCCGGATGGGTTGAAGGACGGAGGAGACTTTTCCGAAGAGGGGGCCTTTTGGGCTGAGCCTGAAGGGAGGGTTTGTCTCGGGAGAGTAGAGACGCAGAGGGGAGGTGTGGTCTGGGACACAGGGCCAGTCCATGTGCCAGGCAGGTGTGGACTTTGAGGTTCCGGAGACGGGAGGGGCTGGGCCTGGCTGGGCAGGAGGTCGAAGCCGACGATAAGGTCCGATAGGCAGGGCGGGGCCCGGTTGTGTGTTCGCTGGAATTCCAGGCTTGGCCTTTGGACTTCACCCTGCAGACAATGGGGAGCCACCGGCGTTTCTGAGCAGGGCAGGGAGGCCCCAGCTGTCACCCATTGTTTTTTCCTAGACTGGGCTGAACCCTGCAACATTTCAGCGATTCCACTAGATGGAGATATTTTAGCAAATTTAAACCACCGAGCCTCTGCGGACACTGCTTTGTGGCGAGGAAAACAAACCAGGACCTCCCAAAGCCTCCCTCGCGCGCTTACTTGCAGCATCTACAACATAAAGTGCAGGGGCTGTGAAACCAAAATCAAATTAGGGACGTAGTTCAGCTCTACCCTGCCGATGAACCTCAGATAATTTCACAGCTTTGAAGGAGAAAGGTTTCAGGGTGAGCAGGAAAAGGCAGACAGTTTTAATAAGTGCCCTGCATACATCATCTAGCATTTCAACCTTACTACAGTCCTTCAAAGTAGGTGCTGTTATCCCGTATTATACGTGAGAAACTGAGATGCAGAGGGGTATATTTGCCGAGCTGACACCAGGCTAAGCAGGTGAAAGAGTTGATACCACGTGGTAAGAGGTGGGCTGGGCAAGTCCCCAAGGAATTGCTTTGCTGGTCCCAGGGTCCCTTTTGCAAAGGGTTGGGCGTTGCCTTTAGATCCTTCTTTGGTCACTAGGAAAACCTGTAGCATGGTTGATGAGAGCTATTGAACTACTACCATTTGCACAATTTCAGGTGCTTTTTAGAAATAGTCGCACTTAATTATCTCATAACCCAGTGAGTTAGGGAATATCACTCACCCATTTTATAGGTAAACAAACAAACAAACAAAAGAACACACACACACACACACACACACACAACAGATTTAGAGAGGCAAAATGACTCGCTCAAGGTCATACGGGAGTAGGCACTAGAAGGGATTGGATCAGGCATGCCTACTTCTGCTCTATGACTAAAAATAAAACACTTTTGACTTCTGGGAAAATTTCCCAGAGAAATTTGGGCTTAGATGCCTCAAGAAACATATACAAAGATTTTTTTTTAAAATAAAAGAACATTGATTTTAATTAAAAAAGTAAAGAAAGAAAGAGACCTAAATGACTGTCCCTAGAAGAATGGACATATAAAATGTGTTATAAAAGGTTCATAGGGTGGAATACTATGCAGCTTAAATTAAGAAGAATAAACTAGCTCTTATATACATATCAACATGGATATATTTAAACAACAATGTTAGTGATAAAGGCAAGATGCAGAACAATATGAATCCTATGTACTCTTTATGTAAATTAAAATACACATAAAAATATAAAA